ATCTTATATATCCTTATTAATGGCCTAGAGACCACCAGGACATTGAAGTTTTTTTTTTTTTTTTTTAAGAGTACAAAAACGGAATCATAACGGTAAAATTGAGGTTGTCAATCTCAAGGGTGGATCAAGAGAGACACGCAAGTGATGGTTATATGAACTTTGGCTTCAATAGAACTGATTTGCAGAGAATCCAGTCCGGACTGAGTAATTTCTTATTTAAAGATACCGTATCAACGGGCGAATAGATAACACACGCGCCTATATATTTTTGTTATCTGAATCTTTAATTACAATTAAAATTGTCGACAAAAATCTGATGGCCGTTTCATTCTTGAAAACAACGTCAGATTAAAGAGCCAGGTTTTCATTAATTATTACCACTGCAAATGGAAGAATCTTTTACATCGTTTTGTGAGTTAATTTAATTAATTACTGTTCGAGAACTACCTCAGTCACAAAATTATTAGCCGTTAGTATGTCTTGTATTTAATATAATATAAAAACTAATTAACTAATTTAAATAAATTAAAAAAATTAATTAAGTTAGTAATTAATAAATAAAAAAAATCTTATATTTAGGATCAAATTATATATTTTCTCAAACAGTTAAACTATGCATCAGGAAAATTGTTAAATACCACCTCCGACCTTTAATATTAGGCAAATCATGTGTAAGTTAGAACTAATATTTGATAAAATATTTAACATATGCAACTACTAAAAGAATTATTTTAAAAAAAGATAAATATGATAAATAAAATGAATTAGAATCTTGTATTTAGGACCAAATTGTATGTTTTCTCAAACAGTTAAACTATGCATCAAGCAAATTGTTAAATAGTACATTTGGTCCTTAATATAAGAACTAATTAATTAGCTTAAATAAATTAAAAAACTAATTAAGTTAGTCATTTGTAATAAATAGGTGTTGTCTTTTGTAAAATATCTTTATTAATAAAGTATATTGGTTAGAACTATCATTATTACAAGAATTATTTTGAAAAAAGTAGATAAATATAATCTTATATTGTTAATACTATTAAGATCTCATATGTAGGATCAAAATAAAAATCAAATGAGCTCTCACGTTAAGAATCTGGTATTAATTATCAATATTCGTTGCTAGTATATTACTACTATCAAATTAAAGCTAGTGGTAGCGATTTACATGGATCGATCTCGTGGTGAGTTGCAGTATTATGTTTTTTTGAAGGGCTGGGGGGGGGGATGAGTCGTAACATTATGACTTATATAAATAGTATGGATTTACGAAAATTTACAGAAATACACATGAAGCTACATGTATATCTTAACAGTTTTAATCCGTAATGACGCACCCAGGGATCTGTATGTGTATCTTGTGTTCTCTCGTCACCTCACTGCGCCACCGACACTCTCATTCGGTCATGTGCATCATCAGACTTCTGAATTTTAAAATAATAAAGATACATTGAATAATACTGACTTAATAACAATCAATCTCAATTCTTAATATTAAAATAAATTAGAACGCGCCAGGAAAAGATTTTATTATTCTCATTAAATCGCCCGCAGCCATATGGCACTTACTCTATAGGTAGAAAAATGACAAGCAACATTGACTTATATTTAAATAGCAAAATTAGGGGAAAAAATGCTCCATCAAAAATTTTATTGGTGAGAGTGGATCATAGTACCATTATTCGAAAAGTTATAGAGCACCGATGGCTTCTGTATGTAAAAATCTATTAGATCCTTCTTACTAATAAATTTTTCAATAAAAGACTTTTTCCTAACTTTTTTTATTTATTAAAAATGACTTACAGGCTAATCTCTCTGTTTTTTTTTGGTTGCAAAAAAAAAAAGGTTGCAAGCTAATCAGAATGATTTCTGATTAACATAATCCCTATGCCTTATTTCGATTTCCCTCTTCATGATTGCATGTCATTGTGCTTGTTCATCTCTCTCTCTCTCTCTCTCCCCTCTAGTATTATTTAAATCGGTGCCAACATGTTAGAGATAATCAATCAAAGTCCAATATAACAAAGAATTTTTTTTTAAATAAAAAATGAGATGGAGGCTAAATCAATCCTGTGAAAAATTGAACCTACCACCTCCTCATGTAATGCAATCCACTAAGTGCATAAACAAAGAATTACTGTCCGTAACTTCCAATCCGAAGTCGGAGAGTAATATCTTCTTTTTTATTCATAACTTCATTCTCAGTTCATACATAAGAGCACAAATCAAATAAGATTCTTTTGATTTTATGGTCTTGCTGCTTCTTTCTTACCGTTTAGGAAACCAGTACATCAATAATTGGTCGACATGTATATACGGAACACATGGAAGCCAGTTAGGATCCAAACCCTTTACGTTATAAGTAAAAAATCGTTGTACGTAGACGATATTAAAAAGCTTCCTGACAAACACATGACAATATGAAGGTAACTCCAAAATCCTTGTAAAGTCACTTACGTTTTGGATGGACACTGCGCATAGAATTAATGTTGAGGAATGATATTAGCAAGTCATGTTTGTGTGATATATATATATATATATATATGGAAAAATGACCCAAAAAAATCCTGAAAATTTGTAAATATCAAATAAAGAATGTCAACAAAAATTTCTTGTAATTTACACATTCAGTATTGTCAATACTAAATAAAGTGTCATTACTAAACCTAATTTAAAATTTAGTGATTTTTAGTTTCTTTTTTTTGTTATTCTCCCTGTGTGTGTGTGTGTGTGTGTATTATTCCCACGTAAAACTTGATCTTATCTCATTCATGTTTGGCCAGCGCAATGCCTCCATGATTCCCTCCAATACATTTGCCCTAATCATCTAGCTACTAGTATATATTATCTTCAACCATACATCCCTTGCATTTTGGCATATGATCCTCATATTGTTACCTTTATACTATTCCTTATCTTTAGGTCCCAGCAATTCCAATCTTTCAACATTTGACATTCGGAGGGTATGGCTACAAATAAGTCTGTAGCATTGTGTCTTAAAATTACGATTGGATTGCTTTTCATTAAATCAAAAATAATGGATAAAGAAAGGGGTAGGTAATTTTAGCTTTAATTTTTTAGCTCCCATTAGAGCGAAAGCAGCTATGACTTGTTTATTTTCTCTAAACTCACGTCACGTGCCTCTAAACGTACATTTAAATCAAAACAACTATAATTTCACTTGTTTATTCTGCGTTTGAGTTAAACTCACATTCTACAAATGGATAATTACACTGGAGGACTAAATTTATAAATTACTAATTATATCCTCAAATTTATTACTTACGGAACATAAATTTATACTATTTGTTGTACAAGCATTTATCATCCCCTTAACATAAATTTACAACTAAAAATATATTTCATATTATTTACTATTCAAACAATATAGATTTATAAGTGAAGCAACGAGTGTTTACCATCCCTGGTCTGTATAAACAAAAAATTTGTGAATTTGTTCCCGAGACATAATTATCCCCAATACAAACTTTAGTCCAAAATAACGTACGTACCAGTGGTCTTCATTCTCTAACAAAAGATGGCTCAATTAGTAAAAGTAAATCGATAATATATTCAGTCATATATATTCTGCAAATTCAAATCTTCTGTATATTAATAATATATATGCCTGAAGTTTGAGGTAATGTTTGTGGGTATTTTTCCCCCTTAAGTAGAACCTCTGTACAATTTTTAAACGCATGATATCATACATATTGTATTTGAAGACCCAACCAATAATTATTTATATTTTAACCATTAGCACCAAATCTTCACGGCAAAGTAAGAAATAATAATAATAATAATAATAATAATAATAATAATAAATCAGCAGTTCCTGATTATCAGCTTGTACTTTGTAAAGCTCTCTCTCCCTCTCTTAGCTTGTCTACAAAGGTACTGGCCGAGACTTTTGCAAGATGAACAGGGTACAACAATACAAATGTTTCAACCCGTGATCCATAATTCAACACAACCTTATCCCTTAATCTGAAGTTTTTGCTCCGATACAGAAAGAGGAAAGACAAGATCAGGAACCAATGCATTTTGTTTGTCTAACTAAATCAGATCTTTAATTTTGACTCCCTGGGGCATCCAAATTATGAACACCTCCCTAAGTCCTAAGTAACAAGTGGAAAGAGAAATACAGAAACCGATGCATAAATAAGCCGAACTGAATCATTTTTTTTTGCCCCCACCAGGGACATTCAAATTACAGACATCCGCAAAAATATTCTATGTCTAATGCTCGCTCTAATATTTTCAAGCAAACTTGTCTACGCTCCAATTCATCTATCACGTTACCATCTCTTAACAAACATGTGCTTAGGTGGCAACATGTAGCGTCTGCTAATATAATTTTAAACATATTAGACAGCTCAACTGTATTCCAATATTTTAAGACATTGGAGCAGGTGTAAGTCAATTGTCTGCTGTATTGCCCTCAGCCTTATTTGTGAGCCCATGGATTTTTTCGCTGGAGGTCTCGTGAAATAAATATATATATATTTTTATTCACAATGTTAATATTTCAGCCTACCATTGATTGCTTCCAAAGGTTAATTCTACCTGCCATCAGATGCCTTGGTCCCTGGATAAAACTGATCAACAGTTTAGGGATACGGTAAGGCATATCAACTTTTAGAGCTGGATGGCTCTCCATGTTTAAAAAGTTGTAGTAACGGGTAAATTGAGATGAATTGAAATATTCAAAAAGCTCTCTGGTTGGAGCTTGCTTCCATCGAAGTACAAGGACATCCCTAACCAACCATTTTTTTATTATACTGATAGCATTATTGAATGAAAAAGAATAATAAAGTGACATGAAGTAATACCTTATTGCACATGTTGGTTGGCTAAGACTGTCTCTCTATGATTTGGCGCAGCTAGTGAATTATAAATTTATAACCACTAGCATGAATCATCCCCAGAGATGAAATTACTTCTCTGAAGAAGTAACTCACTATAAATATACACCTCTAGATAGGGACTCTGGCAACACAGAGCATTGCAAACAACACAAGAATGGCAAGCCAGAGTTTCCTTAGGGCTTTGATTCTGTGTCTCGTAGCAATCATTGGATCAACTCAGGCTCAATTGCAGCAAAACTTCTATGCCAAAACCTGCCCAAAAGCCGAGGCGATCGTCTACAAGTATGTTCACGAGCATATCCGCAATGCCCCTTCATTGGCAGCCGCCCTTATTAGATTGCAGTTCCATGACTGCTTTATCAGGGTATGAATTTCAAGCGGTGTCCTTTTCATTTCATGTTCATTTTTTGACTCAGTATTTTAGCATATACTCTATGAAGTACCGATCTTCAAGAACAGAAATTGCTGGTGGGCGAGATATTTTGTGGTAACTGAGGATCTAAGACTTGGCATTTCAGGGTTGCGATGCATCAGTTCTTCTGAACTCAACAACCAACCAAGCTGAGAAGGATTCTCCGCCAAATCTTACCCTCAGAGGATTTGGCTTCATTGAGAGGATCAAGAGCCTAGTTGAGGCTGAATGCCCTGGTGTCGTCTCTTGTGCTGATATTCTAGCTGTGACTGCCAGAGACGCTATTGTCGCCACTGTAAGTCTAAACTCTGCTACATCCTTATGTTTTCATTACACTTTTTTCTTCAAGATCGGGGCTGACCCATTTGCCCGTTTCTTTCTTCCATTTTGTAGGGTGGTCCCTACTGGAAAGTTACTACAGGTAGAAGGGATGGAACTGTCTCTAACGCTACAGAAGCTTTATTCGGCATTCCAGCTCCATTCCAAAACATCACCACCCTCCAAGGAATCTTCGCCGGCGTGGGACTTGATTTGAAAGACTTGGTCCTTCTCTCAGGTATTATGACAAACACTCACCGAGCACATTACAGCAGACGCAGACGTAAATTTCAGTGCTTCTAACCATGAAAACTTTCACCTTTTTTTAGGTGCGCACACAATTGGTATCTCCCATTGCCCATCACTCTCAAACCGCCTGTACAACTTCACCGGTAAAGGTGATCAAGATCCATCTCTAGACAGTGAATATGCAGAGAATCTAAAGAAATTCAAGTGCAAGACCAGCACTGATAACACCACACTAGTTGAGATGGACCCTGGAAGCCGCAAGACATTTGATCTTAGCTACTACGTTCATGTGGTTAAGAGAAGGGGTCTATTCGAATCAGATGCTGCGTTGCTAAACAACCCAGTCACAAAATCCACTGTCAACCAACTGCTTCAGGGTTCAGTGGAGAACTTCTTTGCTGAATTTGCCAAGTCTATGGAGAAGATGATCCAAATCAGTGTCCTGACTGGGACACAAGGGCAGATCAGGAAGCAGTGCGCCCTTGTAAACAACTAAGTAATTGCAAGTTTTTGTCCATTCTGGTGCATTTTGTATCATTAATTTTTTTTTTATAGTTTTATTCTATAAATTTCTGGGGTTTGGTAATGTATGTTCTGTCTCAGTTGTGTCTTAATTTGTTTGACCCCAATGGTCGGTTGTATGTTGTGGGCATAAATGATGAATCTCACTGTGTCAGGTTACAAGGGAGATAAGTTCTTGATGTTAATAAAAGGCCGAACTGAGAGATAATTCTTTGTTGTCATTCAAAACATCATCAGACATGGGATATCAGTAATTAAGTAATTATTAATACCCCAATATAAAGAAAGATTAGCGGCTTAGCATGATAGGAAAATACTGTATCTGCACAAGCAACTTCTTTCTTGTTAACATTTGTGTAAAATAAAATTCATGCTAGTCTTACATCATATACTTCTAAAGCAAGTGTGTGTGGAGGACGTAGTTTCAAAACTCCGGGGGGGGGAAAAAAATTGAAAGTCTGGGAGGTCAATTCCTTGTTGCTGGGCCATCGAAACGTGAAAAATATGGGTCTAGAGTTTACGAGTCAGCTCCAGCCCAATACGGCCCACATGTGATGAACTTTTGGACGAAAGCCCAGATAGGAAAACGCCAGAAACTTCTACTACTTTAGTAGCTCTCCTTTTAGGTCCCGCCAGTCAGGCAGTCACTGACTTCCCATCCATCTGTGACTTCATATCAGCGAATGACATTCCATCAACTTTCGTCTTGTTTCGTTTCCTCTCCTTTCTCCGCTGACAATTGTTACTTCTTGAGCCCTATATCATATCCCGAGCCTAAAATTTCGACGAATTGTCATCGGCTATCAGTTAGATTTGTTTTCTGTTCTTTCGATTGTTTTATAGATTCTTATTTGTGTGGTAATGAGGTTATTTTATTTACTTGAGTTTCTGATCTGAATTCCATGATTGACAAAACCCTTGGCTGCCTGAGCACACCTTAAGAAAAGCCAGTGAATCATTTTTTCCTGGACTGTGAATTTGAATTCTCCTGGAAAATGTTTGATATATATATAGAGAGGAGGGGGGGGGGGGAGCATGTTCTGTTATTTGGTGGCTGTTATCCTGAATGTGTTGAAGACTTAGGATATGAAAAATTGGGCTTATGATGATGATTTAATTATCTTAGCGGATTTCAATCAGAGATTTCTATCGGTGATCTGATTGTTACCTACACTGAAGCCCTGTTTTTAAAGTTTTCTAATAGATGTTTTCTGTCACTTGCAAATCCATTTGTGCGTGTGATGAAGCCAACTTAGCGAAGCCGTAGGCTGCTGTGATGAGATGAAACATTACGTGTTTATGGGTCCTATTCTTTAACTTCCCCTTCCATTGATCATTATAGTAATGATGCTGGCCAATTTTCTTGTTTAGCAGAAGATAATCTAGTATGAAGAAGCATCTCTTGAAGTGGCTGGGCAATAGTGGGCATGTTGGTTATATTAATGGATTGCCTTTCTTAATCCCTTTCGATGTTGATAAGCCACGTACATTCTTATTGTACACGAATTTTCAATCACTTGCGATTTTCTATTAAGGCAGATTTTTGCTTTTTGCGGAAAACAACAACATTTTTAATGCAAATTAAATTTATATTTGAAGATAAAGAACTATGTTATCACGCTAATTATTAATTCTCTCCCTTATTAAAGTGTTATCATGATAATTATTATTTTTCTCTTGGTCTGAATATGGCTGGCATAAATTGGGATGATGTGCAAGGGTTGCACTTCAATGCTATGCTTTGGTTGAAATATTCATAGCCAGCAGATTTCACAACCGGATGATAGTCATATCCATGTTTAGGGAACCCAGAACCATTCATATCAATGAAGCAGAGGCCAATCTCTCCATGGATGATGGTATTGAGAAACAAAATTGCAGATTGGATAGCAGCAATTTTCGAGGGTGTATTAAAGGGTCAAGAGAAAAAAAATTGAAGATTATATAGCAGCAATGGCCGCAAAGAGAGTTTGCTTTCTAGAGTATATTATAGGGTTAAGGTGGATTTAGTATACTAAAGTGTTTTTTTTAATGCGTTTAGCACCTTAGAGAATTTTTTTCTTCTGTGGTGTTGGATGTACCAACAAGAATTTTCCGGCACCTAAAAAAAATATTTTAAAGTGCTAGATGCATTAAAAGATTTAAATGCATCTAATAAAATATTTTAAAATGTTAGATACGTCTGAAAAAATATTTTAGGATGCTAAATGTGTATTTAATCACCAACAACTCCTTTGATTATTTGATATTCAAAAAGCTACAGGAAGCAAGGTGTCTGGGTTAGGAATTAGATAATGTCAAGGCTTTTTAACTCAAATAGCAATTCACATCCCCTCTAAATGGAAGGTTGTGAGATGTAACCCTAGAAGCGTCTCGGGTAGGTTGGATGTAATTATCTTGACAAAAAATAGATGATTAACTGGTGTAATTTTTTTCACTTGCGTAGGCGTATGCATCATGTATGCTTTTTTTTTTAAACTAGCTGATTTGGCGTTATGCATTTTATTTGGAATTTGTAGTTTAAGATTGTCCTTTGAGTGTCTGACTGCTTTTCATTCCATTGCACCTTCCGTAATTTTGGATTGTATGTGCGTGTGTGTGTGTTTTTTTTAATGTATTGAAGGGGTCTTTTGCAGGTCCAAAAACTAGCTCTTTTATAAAGCGGAAGAAAAAGTTTAAAAAATTGGAGAATAATATGAAATATAAAAAAATTAATTAATTTTATGCAGAAATTAAAAGAGAGTAAAAACCAACAATCGAGAGAGAATTATCCCAAGCAAACGAGCACATGATGTCCTTTTTTTTTTGGGGCCAGCAAAGTGTCTCTCTCTCTCTCTCTTTTCCTTTTTTTTTTTTTTTTCCTTTTGTTTTGGCGGTCATTGCAGCAAGTGCCTGATAACATATATGATATGTTAGTGTATATTATACATTTTAATTATTTTTAATTATATTAAATAACTAATGTCAATTTTTTGTATGGTATAAAATCTAATACATGTAGTCGTAAATACAATTTGTTAAATATTAAAATTAATCGATTAAATAAAATGAATAAATGCAATGTTAAATGGAACGTGAATTTCTATTTCTAATACCCACAATTTGTACGCTATAAAAAGCTTGTCTAATTTTTTTGACAAAAGTTAACATAATAATTTAACAGCAAATTAAAAACATGATATCACGGATAACTATAATTTCAAGAATTATGCACGAAGTAAACTTCCATTTATTACAAAGAAACCAATAACGAGACACATATGGTATCTATCCCTAAGACAGTCAATTTTCAGACTAAACAAATAATGTAATTTAAGAAGTTTCCACAGAAAAAATGTAATTTAATAAATTCCAGATAACGAAGAGGTGATTTCAGATTTTCACTACACATATTTAGAAGCAATCTTATAAGCATTCAACGTGCATTTGGAATGTTGTTTCATTTACAATATTACAGTTGTACCCAAAAAAAAAGAAAAAGAAATTGATGCACTTATAACGTGTATAGCCAATTGAATATTATCTTCACTTAAACCTTAGATTAAGTTTTTTTTAACAAAAAAAACTAGGATTATATCCACCAAAAAAAAAATCAGATATGATGGGGCCCAGAAATATCAATGAAAATATGGACCTCAGACATGCATCCGTGCGAAATTTTACAGCGACCCTTGAATCAATTAAATAGCTGGACGCCTGGACGAAAGATGCATACCAAGTTCATCATTCATCAAGTTATTTCCTGGTCGTCAGATAGATGCCTGCTACTATGGCTGCCCCAGCCACGGCAACACCTACGGAAGAAATGATTTTTACTGCTGAAAGACTTGGTTCTGACAATGGAATTGTCATGAGATCCTTCACCTGGTAAATAGTAAAAAGGGAAACTGACGTAAGAAAATTTGATTCGGAATCATTGAGAAAATAGTGCCACTTGAATCAATATGATTATTCAACGAATATTCACGAACCATAATAGGTTGCTTCCAATGCTTCTTTATTCCTTGTAGATGCCCCTTGCCAACAACAGCAACAACTGAGCTATTCTCTCGCGCCACCTTCAATAATGAGGAGGACATGTATCTGATATTTCAGGGACCAAATAAATTAGAATGAGAAGTATAGATGGAATTCCGCAGCCTGTATCCCAAACGTAACGGCAGATTTCTTTTTGAACCAAACCATTTCGGTAACAGGGGAAACCTAACTAGGACACCGACATTTCGGTAAAAAGATGTTAGGCAGTGGGCAAAACAGGTTGGTGGTGAACTCTTTAACGCATTAGGACAGTTCAAGCAAGCTATCGGATTAAAGCCACCAGGGTGCCCTCCTCATTACCTAGGCTATAAAATGCCGACATAACACAGAAACATTTTTCATACAAATTAGACTAAACAACACGAAGGTGCAAGTGTGCAAGACAACTCACTGATCCCGTTCATGTACAAGGGTCTCCATTAGAGTTGGAAACTCCTTACTCATCTCTTGAATGACAAGAGTTAGCATGTCAATGTCATCTATTTCCTTCAGCTGAAGAAAGCAAACCCAAAATCCCATGTTAGGGTATAAGACAAGATTTTTCACTTTATACTCATCACAGGTATAAGAGGATTATGAAATTTACCATTTTATTAAGATCGTCGGGGCTGGGTAAAAAAATGGCTTGAAAAATTAAAGAGTACAGCAATTTAGTCTTATGCCAAAGCGGCATCTTTCTCCATGTTCTCCATATGGTAATCTGTTTCAATTGACATCATAATTCAAGATAAATTTATTCAGTCCTTAGAGGCAAATAATGAAGCACTACCACAATGCAATCTAGTGAAAAACACAGAAGAAAATCTAGGGACTGAAAAATAATATTTGATGAAAAAAGTAACATTCCTGAGTTGTTTTTTTTTCTCATGCTCATAATTAAAGATAGAAAAAATATAACTTTTAGTCCTTGAGCTTTGTCTCAATTATCAATTTAGCGCCTAAATTTTGAATTAGAGCAACTCAATCATTGTAGCTTATTGATTTAAGGGATTAGGGACTGAGTTGTTCCAACTCAAACTTCAGGGACGGAATCAATAATTGAGAAAAAGTTCAACAACCAAAAGTTATGTTTTTCCTTATAAATATTAATAGTAAGCTTGCGAAAATTGGGCATGTTCCACAGAGCTTTACAAGGGACAGAGGATTCAAGCAATTATCAAATCTGATGCAGAGTTGGGAACATCTTAAAATGTAAAACTGGCATAAAGCAAAAAAGAAGGCCTAGGAAAAGCCTTGTACTCTATATCTAAGAAGCAGTGAAACACTAAACACAGCACTCCCGCAATTGAATATTGCTAACAGCCTTTCTGGTAGACATTTTTTTTTTGTTGAGCTGACTGGTAGACAGTTATATGACCGAATTTATCCTCAAGAAAGAAACAACACACGTCAGGTAATGGAAAGTCATGCAATATTCACCGTTGTGCTCCACAGATGTGATTTCTTTTGTAATTGCAAACGGTTATAAGTCCACTGACACTTGTTAATTGCAATAATTCAGAAATCTCTTTTTTAAAAAAAAAAAAAAAAAAAAAAAAACTCATCCAACCTGTACAGGACGATCACCAAGTATCACCCTGCCACCATACTTAATTGCTTCTTCATATGCTACCCGAAACTCAGAACCAGGAAAGACCTCAAGCTTACTGGCAACCTGTTAGACACGTTTAATATGAGGATTACAGCAATAGATTTGAATTTTTTAGCAACATTTAATATGATCTGCAAGATAGAATCGTGCCTTGGCAAGGAACCAGCTGTAAAGTACTCCAAAAATGTTATGTTTTTTCTTCAACATTGCAATCATTTCTCCCATGGCGGGTACCTGGAACGAGGAAATAGATAATTAAACAGATTGGTAGATGAAATAGAACCTGAGCAAATGGCATATAATATTTGCTGCAGCTAATGTTCAGCAATACAGCCACAGGGGCATTAAAATTAAGTAAATTATGCTGAACTGAATATGTGAGAAACCAGTAAGACGATGCATTTCTGTGAGACTGAATTATGAAGAGGCTTACCGTACCAATTAATTTTTACATTTTTCTTTCCTTTCAAAAATCTGACACTAAATACAATCTCCACCAGCAGATATTCAAAGAGGGCTCTCTCTCATAGAACTTCTATATGCTTCTATATTATTTTTTGGTCAATGCAAGCTTCTACATTCAATTTTGCCTCTTCTCAGATTGTCCTACTCCTTAGCTTATTTAGGGTTCGAGGGAGTCTTACAATGAGTTTTGAAGTCCTTGGTAGCCATTGGATTACTATTTACAGTGTTGTTTTTATTCAAGTTATGGTAATATAAATATTTTTTCCACTGTCTTTTTTTTACGTTGATTACTGTATGATCTAAAAAATAGGCTTTTATGATTCATGATAAGCATTCAAATTTGACAACCACAAAATAATCGCACACAAGTATGGTGTAATTCCTTCATCAGCAGAATACCCTATAGGCCGAAGCTAGACTAGCATTAGGATCTATTACGTAGCAATTGGATATAAATAATAAGGAACTGATAAGCACTCCAAAACATATCTTTCCATCTCAAGTCAAGTTCTACAAATTATTTATAACTTTATATTTTAAGTGGAATACTATTAATCTTATTTACACATGAGAACGAAACAGTAGAAAAGAAAGAATCTTTTGTCCACAGAAAGTGAAATCATTCCAAGACCCAAGGAAAGTGTTCATACCTTGAGGTTTTGAGGGGTAAGCACTGACACCCGACTTGAACACAATTCCAAGAAGACAACCTGCGGCCCAGAAAAGCAAGGCATATAATTCATTATGAAAAGCCTAGAAGCTGGAGGGATTTCCATGAAACTGAAAGCAGGTAGCTAGACTGCAGCATGGTCCATCTATTAATCAATTCTAAGTGAGTTCAAAAGGGAAGCACCTGTGGTTTCAGAAAATTGATTATTGCTTGAACTTCTCTACATGATTCCTGAAAAGAAACATGCATGGTTCAGCAAACATCCCAAGCTCTCGCTATTAAATATTTTATTACCTCGCACACAGATTCCAAGTTTTACGCTGTCTGTATAACATTGCATCCGACAAATTTTGACGGCAAAAACTAAGCTTTAACCGTTTGTTCAATATTCTGAAGGAATACAACGTAAGCAAGCACATCATTATCCATGGTCACGAAAGATTCGTTGTTTAGCAGAATTTCCTTCTTCGGTTGTGACAACTTCAATCCCGAAACAGATTCTAGGGAAAAACATTTGCTGTTATGAACAGAGACTAGGTGGTGAAAACCGACGGGACTGGTAGCAGTTTTTCGTTACTTCAATAAGGAATCAGTGCGAATTATAATTAAAACTAACATAATGATGAGAATTGAGAAGACAAGGATATGAATTTCTCAACTTCACAAATTCCAACAAAAGAGAAAAGTTACCAAATGAATAAGAAGGAAATCAGAGAATAACTTAATTGTAAATATACATATGATATAATGAATAAATAGAAAAGCGCTGCCAGGTTTTTGATGATTCAGAACTAACTGATTTTTAAAAAAATTGATTTTCCTTCCAAATGATCATATTGCCAATGCCCAAAATGAAAAAAACAAACTCAAAATCCCAAGCATTGTTCGCCTCCATCAATCCCAAATCATATACAAAGAAATGAGTTCGTCAAGTAATACCTGAGAAACGTGAGCTGTGCCAACTAAATAAACGTCACAAACAGCATCTTCGGCGGAGGACTCGCACGTCAGAACTATCACGTTTCTTGAGAGCTCCTCGGGAAGCACTTTCCGATTTTCCGAACCCGTGGCATCACGACTAGGCGATGCAGTGGCGTCTGTCGGCCCGTCGATCCGAACCATGCTGTCAGACAAGCTCTCGAAAGTAGGTTCCTGAATGTGAACAAAATCTTCGCCTCTGGCGGCGGATGAATCAAATTCCGGCGATTGGGAGTCCATGAACGGCAGGAGAGTCTCGATTCTGAGGCGAGCAGAAGTGGAAGCAGCAGAAGCAGGGGCTTTGGTGTTTGATGCAGTGGAGAAATGAAGGAAGCGCGTGGAGATGGGAAAAGCGGGGGCAGAAGTGATTCCGGGCTGGCGAGGCAAAATCGACGGCGCAACTCGGGCGAGCTGAGCAAGAGCGAACGGGCGAGTCATAAACACCGAATCTGCCAGAGCGTTTCGTCGTTAAGATGATCCAGAGGGACATCCATCGGTGCCCCCAAGCAACTACATCGCCTCCGAGGCTCAAACCCCTTCTATAGCCCTATGCCAGCTGCTCTTGGCGCTACCGCGAGCGAACCCGTTATACCGATTTTAAATTAGTTATGCATGATTTACCTTTTAATAAAATTGTTAAAAAAAATCCAATTAAAATAAGTTTATACCTTTTAAATTCATACTTCCTCCTATTTTTAATATAAGAGTTAGTTTGATTTTTAATTTGATTCTAAATATAACTCTCCCTCTATGATATTTATCTATTTTTTTAAATTAATCCATGTAATAGTGGCACATGTTAAAAATTCCATTAAATAGAGTTATAACTAATATACATGATTAGTAAAGGTATTCTAAAAAAGATAATGCCTAATTATTACAAATAATTAACTTAACGAACTTTTTTAATCCACTCAAGTTAGTCAACTAACTCTTATATTATTAAAAACCACTACCTTCACCCTTTAATATAAGGTGATTGACTAATTTGAGTAGATTAAAAAAATTTGTTAAGACTAAAACTGCTATTATTATAAGACCTATTTTAAAAAATAGATAAATATAAAATATAAAATAAATTAAAATCTTATATTTATAACCAAAATAGAAGTCAAACAAACATCTATGAGTTAGTAGTAATTTTGTTACAACAAGAAATCATATGCATCGAACTTTTAGGTACTATTTGGCACGAAAGATGTAAAGAGGAGAGTAAGAAAAATTTTAATGAGCTATATTTAAAAAAATAAAAAGATGTGATTTTAAAATTTTAATAAAAAATAATATAAAAGAATAATAAAAATTAATTAAAAATTTTAATCCCACTTTTTCAATTTTTTAAATCAAACTTATTAAAATTTTCCTTCCCACCTCTCTTCTCATTTTTCTTCACACCAAACCAAGGAACAAAAAATTAGACCGGATACTAAACCGGTTGAGACACTAGTTTAAAGGTTAGTGGGTCAGATTAGAGTCAGACCGGTAATAATTAAAATAATATAATTTAGTTAAAATTGATAAAAATATTCATATTCTAATTATAAAAAATAATATTTAATTTTGAAATAGGTAATCATGTTACAAAATATTTATGTATATAAATGATTTTTATTTCTCTTTTTTATTTTTTTCTTTATTCTTTCTTGTGACCGAATGGGATCTTTCTTTTTATTTTTTATTTTTTATAACTTTTTTACCATTTCTTTTCTCTTCCTCTTTTTTCTCTCTCCCACGTGCACTCCTCTTTTTCATTTTCTTCCCCATATCACGCATCACGCATCACGAAGCAGTTTTTTTTTCTTTTTGCCTTGGACAGTGAACAAGCAGTAGAATAGGCCATCAGTTGTGAGTCTTGCCTCACTGAGCACGGATCATCATTTTCCCTTCCCTCTCAAATTGCTTCTGCCTTCTTCACTTCTCTTTCTTTCTCAAACTGAGAAACAACAAATTTTGGCATCATTTTTTCTCTATACACTTCATCTATTCATCCTACTCTCTATTATAATTTTTGCTTTTCTTTCGGTTTTCTATGGGTATGCTTCAAAATGGCGCAAACGAAGTTCTATCTTCCTACACCTTCATGATCTGCTCTATTTCTACCACTTGTCTCTGCAGTATTCATTGTTTCCGCAAACGGTGAGGCATCTGACGAAAGGTAAGAGCAAGAAAGAAGAGGAAAAAACAAGCAGGTAGCCCAATCAAACCAACAGTTTGCTCGATTTTTACCAGTTCTTTCCGGTTTGTTCTGAGTCATTCTGGGTTGATCGGGGTCGGTTTTTAAGCTAAACCAAACTGGACTTCCGACTGGTTCACCAGTTTTCCAGTTGAACTGACCAGTCCAGTCTAGTTTTTTTCTTGTTGCACCAAACAGACCCTTAATTATAAATCTCACAACACTAAAACAGTAAAACGCAACTGCTCGTATTCTTTTTCTAATTTAATTTTTAATTTGCAAGAAATTTATGACTTTTAGAAATCACTAACATGTTTCACTTTACAAAAATTAAATTTACACCATTTATATTCTCTCCGGTAAAATATCTCTTTGTTTCTCTCTGCCCAGGCATCTCCATTAAACCAATATCGGTCTCCACTAAATGTCATTCCATTAATAACAATTTCATAACATATTATCGGGAAAAAAAATTCACAGGAATCATGGAATAGCAAGTAAAATTCAAAAAGAAAAAAGAATGAACGAAAGAACAACAAACCTACAAAAACCAACAAAACATTGTTACCGTTAGCCATCAACTGTATTACCGGATCGTATCTGCAATGCTTGAAAGTTGAAACCCAACATTGTTATAAAGCAAAAGGTCTGGGATGCTGTACTATTGATAACGAATCTCTGAAGTCGAAAATAACCTAATAAAATATCTAGAAGTAATCCTATGAAAATTTTAAAAGAAAACACAAAATAAACCATTTTACCTAACCTAACCCCTTCATCCTGCATCAAGACTTTACCATAGCCACTACAGATAGGACGATCAGCACTTTGTCCACAATGACACACAAGTTGAATGATCAGTGATCAGATAATGTCTGTATGCGATCCAATCTCATGCACAAATTTCAAAGCCAATAGATTAAAAAAAAAATCTCTTTAAAAGCGCCATACAGATACACAGCAGTCAATTCATCTGACTGCCTAGGGTGAGCACCAATTAAGCTTGAAGAAAAATTACCTAGAGCTCAAAGATTTCCAAACAAACTAAATTAGTATGGTGACCATGGAATTCAAGATGCAGGTACACAGAAAACATTCGTGTTTTAGGTGTTTAAGTCTCATATGGATCCAAAGAACTGTTCCAGGGATGAGGCACTGAACACATTTGCGGCAGTCCGTTCGATTCTGACGGGAGAGATATGAAGTTGATACTTGATAAACCTCTGCATCATAATTTGTTGTCAATCATTAAAAGATGCAAAGCATGACTTTTCAGAACATGCGCTTGACCATTGCAAAATAAAGTTCAAATGTATAGACATACGGCTAACTGAGTTATAACTTCAGGATTTGTGTCAATGTGCCAATCTGGTTCCAACTGTCGAACAAATGATGACCTTCCATTCTCTGTGCTACAGAAGAGGACCTGCATATAGGAACCAGAGATAAAAGTAGATAAAAAGTTGTGAAAGACAGGAGAGAAATGGGCAGCAATAGCAACGGGCGACATGACCCATGAAATTTACAGCATGCTTATGAGGCATACAGGAGAAATTCATGCAACAAATCAGAAGAATGACATCAACCGCCACATTTTCCACCATGTGATTTCACAACATCTCTACAATCTGCAAACACAAGACTCGGAGAGAAAGCAACAATTCATAGGACGGCATGACCATTTATTCATTTCAGTCCCAAGGACATCATGAAAAGAAAACTAAGAAACCACGAGCAGATAACCAGTAGCACATTTTTCTTCCGATCCCCATGTCCTGATTAATGGTTCTGTACAGCATACAGCATACACATGGAATTTGTCTTGTTCATCCCAACTTCCATCCAATTTCTCTCAAGGTAATCATGGAACTAACTTTTAATGTTTCTCCATAATGATACTCCTAAAATTAAAAAATTGTCATCTACGCTGCCATCAATAAAGATGTCATAACACAAAGAGCTTGATACAAATGTTAATACAGGGTTTCATCTGCAGAACCAATGGTACTATGTATTTTGTTTTTGGCTTGAATGTCACTATATTTTTTTTGGGGGGGGGGGGGGGGGGAAGTTTTTTAGACATTCTAACGTTCATCAACACGTCCTGCATATAACATGCATGTTGCACTTTCTACTGGCAGACTAAAACTTCCATCAAGAAGAAACTTATGTTCTATCAATAAATATTCCGTGCTCTTTTGTTTGGTGCATATTCACACACCTTATCCTTGACCAAACCACCGGATGTGAAAACCCCAGCATCCTCCAATGCCACAAGAACTCTTTTCTGCAGAATCAATCCATGCATTAAGAATAAACATTTTATTAGTTTGGTATATCGAAACAGAGTAGCAGCATAGAAGCATCACAAGATCGCCTGAAATCGGTTTTAAGTTTGCACAAATTGTTAACAGCCACAAAATAAGATTGGATTTAACAAGCTAAAGGAAAATAGCCATCACAACATGGTACTAAGCTACTAGCATTTGCGCTTGGGAGGGAAATAAGCTGGTCAAGTCAAGAAAAGGTCATGAATGATTTAATGTAGCATATCTAATGCAAGAAGAATGATAACAAGCTTACAAATTACACACATTGAAAAAAATCCTAGAATTTTCATTTCAAGCAACAATACATCTAAGTTCATTGGTGGTGTGGTCAGCAGTAACAAATTTTTACTCCACTAGACGGGAAGACTGTGAGGTTGGCTTATTGATTCCATCTTGCTTGCAAGATATGAACTAATAAATGATTTTGACTGACATGAGGTCATGAGGAATAATGTTTGAGACAGACATGGGGGATGAACGATTCTAATAATATATTATTTACTGAGGAAAAAAATATTCTCCAGAAAATGGTTGCACACACCTCACTTTCATCATCCAAAACTCGTTCCATGAGATAAAGATCACAAAATTTTGTTATCTCCAACAATACTTCCAGCACAGAGGACCTTACTGTTGCTTGTCTCTGCCAAAAACAGCACAAAACATATCGGTATATTTCTTCAGTTTAATTTGTTAATATATTTACACACACACACACACATATATTAGAGAATTTCACCACCTGAAGCTCCTCTGGATTACTTTCTTCAAGGATCACTCCAAGAAGGCGACAAGTAACCTGCATACAAGACATACTATGCCATAAAATTCTGCAATAGAAGGCAGAAACATTGATTGATTGAGCCTCAGACACTTGGAATGCAGGCAAATGTTTTTTTCATTTCATGTTTAGAAGAGACAAGTAAGAGTTAAAACAACGTTTTACAATTTCTTTATATTCTAATTCAAAACTTTGCAGCTTGATTTCATCCATCATGTGCCAAGCACCCTTAATCTATAAAGCCACTGACACACACAGCCAGTGTGCCATAACATGGCAGTATGGTTTACTTTGAGTAAGTTAGATAAGATTCAGATTCATGAGATTCAAGTAAACAGCGGCAACAAGAATGCATAAGGCGTGACAAACTTGATTAGCAAAAAAAAGTACCACAGGATGTGTGTTTAATTACCTTCCTTCCCTCACTTAACTTCTGCTTAACTATTTGCCCCAATGTTGGCTGGAAAAGGTAGGAAAAAATAATTTAAAAGTTGCACACTATATCCAAAGCAATCAGCATGATTAAGCATTGATATAAAAAGATTAAAGCGCTCCCTGAAGCAGCGGGCATTGACAATTGCAATAACCTTGACAGGCTGAAAGAACTCATCTACAACATTTTGTGCACTTGCATCATCCGAAGTTGAACAAACTCCAGAAGGAACTACTGGAGCATTAGAAGATGCACTAACTCCAGAATTACTAGGCATGGTGGCCAGCCGTTTTCTTTGCCTCCGTTGAGATCCACTGGGCGATCTCAGCATCCTCCAGGTGAAGAAAATTGCAAGAGCAAGACCAGCAACTGCTCCAATAGAGCGTGAATCCTGATAACATGCTGAACATAATGAAAGTCCGTCCATTTAACAAAATTGAGATATGGATAGCTAGAAACTGAGACCTTCATGAAAAGTATAAGTTCTATACAGAAACAGAACAAAACAATCGACATCTAAATTAGTGAATTATATAACCCTAGGTTTGCTCTGACCAAAAAAAGTTACACTCACAGACAGACACATAGAAAAAAAAAACTAAAGCCCTAAAACGATACCATACGATGCTACAAGAAACTTGGATTTTGCTTTAAAATCACAGCTGTCGCTATAAAAAGCCGATTTGGGTCCAAGACTTGCTTAAAAAATGGAAATGCCTAGAAAATTTGCTAAGATCAAATAAAAAATTGATAATCTTTAAGTCTATCAAGCCGTTTAGCAACTTTTTGAGAGGATCAGTAAAAGCAAATGGTTGGTTTTCGCAGCATATGTAATTGATGTAGAGCTTTCAGAGTTTTGAATTGTATGAAGTTTATGGTTCTGTATTGAACAGAGATTATCCTTTGAACCTCAGGCTTACTGAATCAACCGTGCCTCTGCTACATTTCGGAATAACATGCATCCCCATCAACCGTTTATCTTGTTCCCAGTGTTTTGATTAGACATTTCATATGCGCTTGACAAATGAGCCAGCCGATACTACGTCTTCAGATGGCCACTTTAAAGGTCAATATTTAGAAAGGTCATTCAAGCGGCTAGACTAAACTAGATCAGAGGAAGTAGATAAGATTCATCATTATGTTTCAAAATCAAGTTGCTTGCAATTCACTCAAACTAGCGTTAAGTAGACGCATATGGTGGTTAAAATATTTTCATAACATTAAGCATCAATATATTCAGATAGTGAAGTAGTTTTGATTGCTCGGTTTCAGCTCCCGCTAAAATCCGGCAAAAGAACACACTTTGAGCCTTTTATGCTTTCGTTCTAACAGTTCTCCATGCCCTCTTTTCTGACTGATCATATTCCTATCGTCAATCATAATTCTTCTAAAATTTGAGTCGATAATTATTGCACATTAGCTACCACAATCAACTACAACTTGAAAAACCAGCAAACAAAACGAAACACAAACAGAAGGGCGGAAGACAGAAACGAAGATATTGAATAAACGCATTGAACCAACTATGATTCCAAAAAGAAAATGGAAGAGCTGACCATTCTTTTGCTGACATAAGGGATATCAGATCCGCCAAAATGGTCGAGAAATAAATGAATAAGACAATTAATTGCTTATAAAGAGCAAAAATACCGGGTTTTGTAAGAAGATTGATATGAAATTGGACATCTTGACCGTAATAAAATCTCTCAATCGTTTGATAAGCTGAAACAGCTCTTCTTTGGAGGTGTCAACCATGGCTCACTTCCGCCTAAAGAGGATTTCTCAGTTCCAGAACGATGACGTTTAACAGGATTGCTCAGATACGCAGGCCTTTCATCGCCGATCACCGTTCGAGAGAGAGAGAGAGAAACTCTGTCCAGCGCCTGTGCGTCAACTACAGCACATGAAGAGAGCTTTCGAGGATTCCATATGAAGAGGGTTAATTCGAAAAAAGTGAAAATCAAATTTTGACTATGCCGATTTCCGAGTGATTTCCTTGTGAGTTCTTTTTCCCCAGAAAACCAAGTCTAGATTTCTAATTTATAATTTTCAATTTTGAAATTATAATTTCTTCCGGAAATTTGATTTTAACAAGATTTTGAAAAAAAATACTTACATTCAATTTATTATATGTATCATGTCAAGTTCTCAAATCATTCATAATTAAAGAGCCACGTGTATCTTGAAAACTTGATATAATAAATATAGCAAATTTTACTTGGTTAATATCTTTTTGTTAAACTGTAAATTGAAATTTAAGATTAGGAAATAGGAATTAGGCCCTATGGGTATAATAAATACAACAAATTTTACCCAGATAATATCTTTTTGTTAAATTGTAAATTGAAACCTTTATAAATTTAAGATTAGAAATTAGGCCCTATGGCCCAAATGATACTGAACGCTTGGTTTGAGAGTCTTTAAAGGTGTGCGATGATTAATTTAAACGATAATAGATGTGAGAATTATGACAAAAAAAAAATAGCAGCAAGACTCTGTTTTAATTTCGAATTGGTTACACATCTGAAAGTTGAAATCCAATCTTATCTTATTCACATCTGAAAGTCGAAACCGGGATTTACAAATAGATTATAAATGCTTTTTTGGGTCAAAAAAATGAGAACAAGTTATTTTTAAATTTAAAAGATTGTAAGTATAATGATGAATTGAAAACATTTAAATACAAGTTATATGGCAATAAACAAAACGCACGTTTTAAATTGATTGAAATAGCCCCCTTTGGCCCTTTCACTTAAAAAGATTTAATGTACATAATTTTAAGTAGATAAGCTTTTTCCTTTATAAATTAACAATTTATTGTTATTATTAATTATTAATGCTAATCAGCCTTCATACAAAGGATGCGCTTTAATTTTAGATTATATCACTCGCGTGAACTTCCATGTGCGTAAGCAATGAGATATTCTATTTATTTATCATTATACATGATACAGCAAACCAACAAAAAAAAATTGATCATTTAAATTTGTCATCATTTTGATTTTAATTCCTTAAGTTTAAAACTATAAATTTTTATTCTTATAGAGACAAATGGTCCAGATATTTATTAAATTATAAAAACCAATGTTCTGAATGAAAAGAAAGTTGAGAGATCAAAATCTATTATTTGAAACTTGAGAGACTAAAAATAATATTAACCAATAAAAAATGAATGAAGATTATATCATTTTCATTATTCAACCTTTGAGATAGATGGCAGTAGACTCGAGGAATGTGTAATAACTTTTCTGAACGACTCAGATGCTGTAGATGCATCTTGTCCACTACTTACCCAGAAAGCCTGCCAAGCAGATACAATGGAATGGTTTCACAATGAAGCCACTCGCCACTAAAGTAACACCTTCAATAAATGAATACACCGTTCATTTTTGTGAACAAAGAATGATATTTTGTAAGCAAGATGACTTTTAATGACAAGATGGAAAAGAGAGCCACTATCCCCAAAAATATTGATAACATATCAAATAATGCTGCCAAGGCATCACGCTGTTCAGTTGCCTATACACTGTGATCATTATTGGAATGAAGAAATTTTTCTTCCTCACTTGACATGTCACTCGCTGGAAGCTGAATATGCAACTTGGTATTCGTTTTATTCAACTCATTCTCTACACGGAAAAAGATCCATTGGAAGCGACGGAAAATCTCCAAGGAAGCAATCGTGAACACGGTGAGATGGTTATGGCGGAGATGGGCAGACAGCTTGTATGTCCATGCACAACGCAGAATTAGATTGCTTCCAATCACCCAAACGTAAACCTGCGCTCACAGATATATGAATGACTTCAGGATATTGAGGAATAATGTTTTCTTCAGCATATATAAACCCAATGAAAATATTAGTTAGAAGAGGTGTGCGTGAGTTAAAGAGGTTGCTTTAACCATGGGCTAAGCTACTGCAACCATAAATTGACTGACCTCTGCTATAACACACGTCTTAAATTTATTTATTTATTTTTACTAAATGAAAAATAATACTTTTAAACTCCATGGCCACACTTCTTTAACAGTCCTTACCCATCTTCTTCCATGCAAACTATTGGACAATGGATGTGGTTTGCTGAATTTGAATATCCGAGTGAAGGAACTGAGAATTTAAAAAGGGACAATTGTCAGTGAGTCAGCAGACAATGTTATACTAGCTCCAATCCTAAATATAAAACACTACAAACTAAATCTTATAATTAAGATTGGAGATAGTACAAAATATAATAAAATATTACACAATTTCTATATGGGTTTTTCAACTGCATAATTGCAACTTTTTCACTTGATCAATTAGACAAACACCAAGGACATTCAACAATGATAAGTTTTATGCATGTTAACACCACCGCTACTCCTCTAACACCTCATTCGATATAAAAAATTGGGATCGCCAGATCATCACATGATCAAGATTCTGATCATCACAATATAAGCATACTTTTTTCATGGATTGGTGCAGAAGGAAATCCCCATAAAATGATCACTTGTGCACAAAAAAATTAAAAACCCAATCACCTTGGAATTCATCCCCAGAGCAATGCACATTCGAAAGCAACAGAAAAGGGCCTTTAAAGCGGTAGTTTATGCCTGTTAGGCCATGCGCTAGACAAGATAAACGGCAGTTTTAAGCCTATTAAAGCCATTTCTTAGTTCTTACATTTTATTTATGTTTAATTAAGAGATAACATCACTTCTGTCATCGCACCATCTATTTTTCAGCATTTAAAACCTAAAATTCAAAAGATATTATTGAATAAGGGAGGGCAAACATTAGGCATACCTTAAGTCCCAATCTCGAGTCACATCCCAATAGAAAGAGTATAACGAGTTCACAACACTCGACAGAAGCCAGAGAGGCCTATATAAGTTTGTCCAATTATTGGGGAAGACGTGATACTTGAGGGCAGAAAGAAAAATTACTGGCACTGCAGTGGAATATTTTAAGGCTGGAACCATAAGCAAACGAAGTTAGAATTGACACAATGCGGCACAACCATCCTAGAAAAAACATGATAAGTTTATTTCGGAAATGAGGTCCTGAACCACATGGAAACAAGATGCACAAAATTCATAGAACCTGCACTAGATTCTCAAACTCTCTATAACATGGATTTGACAAAATATTAGTTAAATTAATAAATAGCAAGAGACCCAAAAACTCAAGCTAACATAAAATAGAAAGAGCAAGACTTCTTACCATTCAGAAGAGTAGTTTTCTCCCCAGTATCCTTGTACTGTCGGAGACATTGGTTCAGACGGAAAAGGTATGGTAAAACAAGAGCCACGGGAATTGCAATAGAGTGACTACCACAAACAGAATCAGCTTCTAACCAAGCAATTGTAGCAACCTACAAAAAGTCACTCCGTTATTGTGTAATTGGAGCATCTTCCTATAAAACTAGAACAAGATAAATTTAAGACACTGTAATTTATCCTCTGGATTATAATTAGAAACCCACTTTTATGGATCCATATCACATCAATAGCTCAACCCATTTTCAGTTTATGGGAATCAAACCTGTCGATGGACCATTCGACAAACTGAACGCTCCAAATCTGAAAAGACCTGCGAAGAATTGATGAACATCACCAAACAAAACAGAATAGGGAATTAAGAGAAGTCAACAATTAAATAAACTAAACATGCCAATTATAAAGTCAACACGACCTTTAATGATACACATGCCCAAACAAATGCTTGTTTTTGTACTCATAGAAGTGTGTGTGAGAGCATGTGTATTAAGTATAAACGAACATGTAAATGTAGCCAATGATTTATCAAAAAGATTAGCTTGGAGGAGGAAATGCTGATTTTATTAAGAAAATAAGAAATAATAGAGAAAAATAGAAGAGGATGCAAACCTTTGCCATGGAAGTTAAAATATCAGCCAAGAAAAAATCACAGAATGATATTGCCTGTTTTAGTATAAGAAAGAAAAGGGATAAACATCAGATCATATTTAAACATTATCACCAATTAAAAAAATATCCAAGACATCAATTAATAAGGGATGGAATGAAGCAGGAGCAAAATAGGGTTGGAAACTTAGAAATTAAAATGAAAAGGACATGTATATTTCAATCATAAGAATCATTCCTACTGCAATAATTCCCAAGTATCTTCAATGAAAGGTATTAAATAGTTTCAACCTGAAACCCCTATAAAGGTGTAACACTACAAGAGTATATGTTGTGTGTACACTAAAAGCTTCTTTGCTTGATGTCACCATCGCCAAAAACATGTGATAATTAGGTCTTAATTACGACTATTTTGTTATGCAAAGTCCAGCCGGCTATACTTATCACTTCATTAGGCTTAGGACAGCATGTATTCAGGCATCTACATTGTATGTTTCCTTGATTGCTGTCAGGGGGAAGAAGTTCTATCCAGTCACCAACTCTCTTCTTTCATTTCATTTTATTTTTATTCTTTATCTATATAGTTTATTAATGTACCTTCACATTCGATGGAGGAATATTAGTTACAAAAAGGACACTAAGAAAACAAAACAATAGCCAAAAAAAAAAGGAACACACACACAATCTATGAGCAAGGACAAGGACCCTAACATCTGGATATCAATACATAAGGACATTGACCAAAAACTCTAGCAAAACTAGAACAACAGTATATAGCAACATTCACCAACTTTCAGTATCAGTAATTTCAAGATCGTGCATGAAGGAATATATAAACAGAAAACATCCAAATTTAAGCAAACTTACCTGTAATGGTAATATAATACGCCAGAGTGTCCTCAAAAAGTAATACCGGGATGAAAGATAAAAGATATCAAAGGGGAATATCAAAATCATTACAACAGCAGCATACAAAAGAACCTGCAGGAGAGTACAAGTCAATTCAAAACAATCCCAACAACCTGAAAATGGACACTTGCTAATCAAAGGAGAATTAGTAAAATATTTTTCCTTTTTTTTGGGGGGGGGGGGGTGGTTATGTAATTACTGCACTTTCTGCATCAAAGACTAACTCTGAAGTAGCTGTACATTTCTCACGTGAAATGTATAAAGTAGATGCGGGCCTATGTACGTCACTATCTCATTCATTTCAATACTGGACAGCTTCAATGATCCAATGTTCAATAATTGAGATACCCTCATCAGGAACTCTAATATGTAATACCAATATGATGGAATAAATAAAATATATGCAGAATACTTATAGGGATAAAGAAAACATTACTTTATAGGAGCACCTATCTCAATGGGAAAAGTTGGCATATCAAGAAAATCATGCTCCAACAAACTAGATGCAGGACATCTCTGCAGCCTTATGGCAATGACACAAACAGCACTCATGACCACAAACATTGTGGCATTCCACAAACAAGCATACTAAATTCTCAAACAACTCAACCATGAAAAATAATTTGTTTGCTAATAGAAAAGTGTGAACATATAAAGAAACATCAAAATGTGATTACCTAGAGACAATACATGAGAAGTAGCATACTATAATAAAAAGTGACAATCAACAACTAATAAGGGTGGATGCGTCTATTACACTGGTTGTGATGCAGCGTATGAGACTTCTCCATGAGAATAAAGATAAAGATACGCAGTCATACTGGTTGGAACAACAATTGTCATCCACATGGCACACTGCAATCATTACCATATAAGTCCAAAAGGTCAGTCAAGAATTCAAGATTAAGTAATTAAAAAGAAAGGAGAAAAAAGGGGGGAGGGGAAGAGAAAGCTGAGCAGAAAGCCATGAAAACAAATAACAGTACCTTATGTACAGAGCACCAATAACTAAGGCAAGGAAAAGGACTAATGAAAGCTCATTCAAAAGAAAAATACTGTTTACCTTCCATATTTCTCTGTGAGAGAGATGGTTCTGATCAAGATCAAATATTTTTGCATAATTGACACCAGCTTGAGAAAAAAACCATAAGTTGATTCCCCAGAGCCAGACCATCAATGTCTGAAACACAAAAGTAAAACTGAATGAAATGATAAATAAAGAATATAAAGATAATAAATTTAGCATCTTTACTGTTAAACCCGGTGGAAACATAATCACAAGTGCACACAGACTGTGGACCTTGCAGAAAGAAAAGGAGAGAAAGAGAGACAACCAACCACAAGTAGAAGAGGATTGTAATACAAAAATGCCTCATACAGAAACAAATCCCGCTTGTCTGCACTCATTCTCATGACAGAATCCCATCCAATCTGAAATTTTGACACGTAATCAACATAAGGCAGTGGCAATGTGATAAGATCTTCTCTTAGTGTCATTTATGCATCCCATAGTTCTATTAATAAGTATTGCTAAGAGATTGACCTTACAGCAGATGAAGCCCCAGCCGAGGAACATTAGTACCTACACATACATCTGAATTAGATACTGAAGAAGTGGAATGGCCAGAATATTAAAGGAAAAGGAGGGAAAGAAGTCAAAGAAGGAAAACAGTAGACCTAAAGTTAAATTACAACTCCTGATTAAAAGTAATACACATACACAACTCCATTAAAAGGAATTTGACAATTGATTCTGCTCAAACAAAATTTTTCAACCAACTGCATCATTTCCCTTCTACAAGAATTAAGATAAAAGTAACTATACAGGAATCATATGTTGATCGTGTGTTCATTCAAAAAAAAAAAAATCGCACCTTATTTGGTCTAAGAAAAAAGGTAAATAGAGAAAAGCTACCACTGCATAAAAAATAAATAAATAAACCTTGAATCTCCATAATAAAATAGGCGAGGGCATTATTGCAGAAGCACTCATTGTCATTGGTATTGTGACACCCCTCAAATCATTCAACTCTACGGAATGCAATAAACCTTCATCAACACCATTTTCTGCTCCCTTTTCATCTGGGAATCACATAGGCATAAGAAATATGGGGTGAATATGCATAAAGGAAAAAATTCAAATTGTAACAGAGCTAATCACTCATGGATAAATAAACCAAATTACCAAGATCAGAGACAACAGTTCGGCTTCCAGACTTCCGTAAATGTGGACTGTTGGTAGGAATCACAAGACCTCCAACCATAGATGAAAACAAAAAACAAAGATGCAGTTGCAGTGGTAGTTCTTCCTCCACAGTAACAAAAACCTAGCAACCTGCAATAGTTCAACGGACAGAAATAATACTAGAGAAATACACTGATTTTGTAGTAAAAACAAATTTTACTAATAGAAAAGGAAGGAGGAGATGCATTGAACAAACAAGCATAAAAAGCATATTATGAGAATTCATCGTGTTCATCCACAACTAATTAATGAGCAGGATAAGAGTGAATCCAGATTCTCTGCAATTACAGATTGACAGCATAAGGTGCGGCTAAAGAGGGAGAGAGCCGTGGAAAAGGAATTAGTGTAAAAAGTGCCAGTGTACCCCATACACTGTCACTCCTTTATATCAGTCTCTCTTCAGATCTGAGACAACAGACGATTTAACTTCGATTGGATCCCTTAAAAGGAAATCACAGTCAATCAACAGATGAAACAGCATACAGGCCTTGCATGACACGAGTTCATTATGCATAAGCTACACTGGAAAACCGAATATAGATTTGTGAGCTATGATGGTGGAAACGAGATTAATCATTTCGAAATAAATTCTAATATCTGAAAATAAAATGTTGTTTGCCAAATTAAGATGCCAAATGACAAAATATTGCATTCTATAAAATCAAAATAAAATGATTAAAAAAATGATAAATATGCACAATGAGGTCCAGTGTGCAGAAGCTGCCCTAGAAACTCCAAAGAAAAAAAGAGGTTGTGGGGGCCTAGATCCAATTTCAGGTCTAATATTGACTTGATTCTTGCCAACAAACAAGTAGTTTCAAACATAAAGTTTATGCAAATCCATTCTAAATCACTTGGGTTTTTCCAAGCACCCAGGCGAATTGGCAGAGCCAGCAAGTTTCACGTTATTCAGTCTCCACCAACCCCTGGGTAATGCATTCGCCATAAGCAAATTTCGATAAAGATCTTCTTTAATAATTTTGACAAAACGAAATGCTGAAACACTCAACTATCCGTCTGTTTAGTAAAATCATAGTGAATCAATCAAAATGTACTGAAGGAACTATTGTAGGCGACCATAATTAAAAATACCCTTTAATAAAGCAAAGCACAACAAAATTTCTGCTACGAACATATAATATGATTTTATAAAAGCTATTAGAACCACGGTTCAAGAACTACAGCTATTGATATGTACGATAACAATGACTGACAAAATAATCACCCAGCTAATTAGAAATCGCTGACAACTAATTAGTAATTTCACTAGTAGCCTGACACGACCCAAATTCGAGAATTCCCACAAACCGTACGATATCAAATATGGAATTCACCATGAAACTATGAAAAATTGCAACATGCAGACGATGAAAACAGGATAAAATGGAGAAGAGATCATCAAAACAGCACATGGCGAACCTAATCAGAAGAGTGTGCGTGAGAAAAAAAGCAGCTAGGAAACTATCGTTGGATAATTTGTGCGCAAGGTAAGATCAGGACTCGTGTGGTTGGCTGGATCTGCATCCCATGGAGGAGAAAGTTGATGGCGGGTTTGAGTGAAAACGAAGGCGAGAAAACGCGTAATATTTGAATAGCCGAAGGACCGGTGTTGCAAAATTAAGACTTTGGATCGTAGGGCTGGTTTGGGATGGGGCGGGTATCCAAATCTGAAGCCATGTAAGCTTTCGCACTCAAACGTGTTTTCTAATGTTTCCGTTCAGCTTGGAGGAAAATGATAAGCGAAAATTACGGTAGAAAAGGAAGTCCTGTTTCTTGTAAAGGATCATAAATATGTCAAGGAAAATGTTAAAATTACAATTAGTAACAGAATAAATTTTACTAAAACTAAAACACCTATTGATCGTGGCTAAATGTTACTATCGTCACTGCTCAATGCATCCCTCAATCCAGCTTTTCCTTTTCAATTTTGGGATAAATCCTCATTCATTTATTTCTGGCAATCTTGTTTTCCCAGTAAGCTCTTCTTCCATGGCAACCAAATCATGAAGCTAACTTTACGGAGAGCTCGTTTCATTTTCACTGACCCGGATGAGCAGCAAAGTATATTAATAAACCCGACGAGACTCGTTGACTTCTTATTCATCATCTGCTTTGGTATTAAGTCTCCGATTTCCCATCTAGCAATCAAACTCCAAGGCTGAAGGAAAAATTTTGCTGTACCCTGTGGAAACTGAAGTTTGACATGGTTTTCGAATGCCATCCAGGGGTATCTGCAGTGTGTTTCGATGGAATCAAAATCATAATTTTAAAAGAACTTTTTCAGAGTATGAAATAAATATGGGAATGAATTTATCTTGTTTTACAGGATGCTTTCAAACACCCCCTTGGATGAAAATCAAAATATGATTTCAAAAATGTTTTTACAGTTTATGAAATAGATACGTAAAGAAATTTGTTTCATTTTACAAAAAAGTACAGGTTGTCAAATACCCCCCGTTCGTACCCGTTAGTCGTGTTCAAATCTCATTCCAGGTTTCATTAAACAATAAAGTGCCTTTAGGTTGGCTCAACTTGTCCTTAAAAACTATTAGCAAAATTTGAGGAAAACATAAAAATCCTTGCTAATTAAGTATAAAACTATCATTATTAGAAGGATTATCAAAAAAAACAAATTCTTATAATTAAAAATAAAAAGTCAAATTGGGTCTTAGGACTATTAGCAAAATAAAACATAATTTTGAAAACAACAATTCTTTCATTAAAAAAAAAAAACAGCTGTACACTCACATTAAGGAAGGCTGTTAAATAATCACAATTGAAATAGAATAACTATATTTAAATAAAATACTCGTGTCATAATATGTTGTAGAATGTTTCATTATTTTTACTATTAAAGTGTAAAATGATATAAAATTAATTGATACTCCTCCGGTCCTTAATATAGGACCCAATTCTTGAGTTGGTTTTGATCCTAAATATAAATCATTTCTCATATTTATCAATTTTTTCTAAATTACCTCTATAGATACTCCCTCAACCATAATCAACGAGAAGAGGGAGAAGAAGTATTAATAAAGATGATTATGGTGTTTTAGGAAAAATGTGTCACTTTTTTTATAATTAACTAACTTACCTAACTTTCTTAATATAATCAAATTAGTTAAATAGGTCCTATATTAAGAACCGGAGGAGTATTAACTTTAAGGTTAAAGCATATATTTGGTCCTCTAATTTTGTACAAGGTTTCAATTTGATCCCTTAACTTTAAAAATATACTTTCAGTCCTTTAACTCTAATTTTTTTTTTAAAAAAATGATAACATTGAAATATTAAATGTTGATAAAATATTCTTAAATGCTAAGCATATTAAGTTTCATTTTCAAAACATTCATGATTGTTATAAAAAAAAATCATTAAAGCTTAATAATTTTAGAGTTAAAGGATCAAATGTATGTTTTTTAAAGTTAACAACCAAATTAAAACTTTATACAAAATTAAAAGACTAAATGTATGCTTTAGTCTAACTTTAAAGCAACATTTAGTTCATTACGTAGTGAGTAGGTGGCAAACTATCTGAAGTCTGAAGATATTAATGCATCTAAATCCAATCATCCCTCGCATGTGTGTCCGAATCATAAGGCTGACCACAATTAGCATATTTTCACTTACCAGTTTTTCCCGTCCGCCAAATCGCCGAGGTCCGAATCTGAAGGATGACCACCCCAAATTTACTGGCCCCAGCCTTCTCTTTTCCTATACCCTTGCATGAGCCTTCGCCATGTCAGCCCAGCGATCACTTTCTACAACAATTATTGGATACTTTATGCCACGTCACTCATCCAGCATCCGGGTGAATATAACTTTTTGAGAATATACTTTGCCACTTGGCAGGCTTTCCACAAAATCTGGATATTCATGTGGTGGTATATAATAACATTACAACCCTATTACGTGAGTTCCCTCGGTCCAACACCAACCTAGCCTGGTTCATTCGCTTGAAAAACAACCCATTACTGGCGCTGTTCTAAAATATTTCTCCATCTGAGGTCTGAATTTCCTTTTCTTGCCAATCACTGATGGGTTCTCTGTTTCTTAATTTTGGCTGATTGTGGGCAACCTGTTTCATCTTGGGGCGGGAGTTCAGTGCCTCTGAATTTGTACGTATAAAGCTCACATATTTCTGTTTCATTGGGTATTAGCCTGCATCGGTGAATTAAATTTATTCTGATAAAAAGCATTTTTTTGTTGTTGTTCTAAATGGGGGTTTTGTGATGCTGTTTTGATCTGTGAAGGGCAAGACGCCGAGGTTGGAGGTGAAGCTGAACTCCCGCCATTAGATATCATAGAGTTAGCTTATTTAGGGTGATTAATCGGTGAGGTATGGAGCCTGTATGTGATCTTTGTAGGGTTGTAAGAGCAGTGGTGTACTGCAAGGCAGATTCTGCTCGTCTCTGTTTGAATTGCGATGGTTGTGTACACTCCGCGAATGATTTGTCACGCCGTCATCCTCGTTCACTCCTGTGTGATCAGTGCAATTCCCAACCCGCAATTGTCCGCTGCTTGTATGACGAAATGTCCGTGTGTCAATCTTGTGACTGGAACCAAAAGGGCTGTTCACGATTGGGCCACAGGTGTCAGGCATTGAGTTCTTATACTGGTTGTCCCTCTTCGGCCGACTTCTCAAAAATATGGTCCTTTGTTTTTGATGCTCCTTCAGGTGGTCTTGGTGTTACTGGTTCTCGATCCTTTACCACATTACCTAGAAAAGACAGCTGCTCCAGCAAGTCTATGGAGCCACCAGATAATGACGCCTCTTTTGATTTGGTGACTGGTAAGGTGAATGAAATAGAACCATGTGTCACATATGATCCTTGGATGGGACAATCTGCTAAGATTATACCACCAAACGCAAATTTCCTGTCCTCGTGCAGAGATCAGCAATTTTCATTTCCTCTTGACTCAGATCTGCAGGCAAAGGTGTGACCTTTGGTTGGTTTGTTTTGGTTACTATAATCAGTGTATATGTTTATTTCCAAAAATTTTTGGTAGTTCATTGACTTGTGCACGCACACATGAAGCCACAGTGTGCGGTCCCTTAAATGATAGACTTTGGTAGTTTGTAAGAGACCTTAATTTCAACTTTTGTGCCGTCATGTGCCTAAAAAGAGAAACAAACTCATGAACTGCAGGGATATCCTAATTTAAAGGATCTTGGGACTGCTAGTGGTGATGATCTCTGCGGAGGCCTCAACATAGAAGATCTTTCATTAGGCTTTGAAAATGATGGTGAAATACTTGATTACACCCAAGAAGCCATCAGATACCATCTTGAGAATGGAGAAGCTGACTATTTATTAATGGAAAAGAACATATCAGTGCCAGAATCTAACGGTCTTATTGAGAATGCCTTAGAGGTTGTCCCGCTAATTTAATTCTCATTCATTAATTACTATTCCTCATTACATATTAGTGAAGCACAAAATTAATTGAGACCAAAATGATTGTTTTTAGGCATCTTCATCAGTTCAACAAGGTCTAGCCTTTCAATCATCCAGGCCGAGCGAGTCAGGTGACGTGGATCACAGCATCAACAATAATGCCAATCCGATACCCATGAATCTGAGCTGCAACCAAAATGATAATCTAGGATATCCTCATGGTCAAGGGCATCCAAGCATATCAGTTCCATTATCAAGCATTAGTGGTGAAAATAGTACCCCTGATTATCAAGATTCTGGATTATCACCAGCATTCCTGACAGGTATTGGCCAGTGGGAGCCAAATTTTGGGTCCTCGTCCCCACAGGCAAGGGACAGAGCTTTAAGGAGATACAACGAGAAAAAGAAAACCAGGACGTAAGTGTCTTTCATCCATTCTTTGTATGTTGATTATTCAAAAGCATTCTATTGGTACCATGCTTTATTGCTTTATGCAATTCTTAATACACATACCACATAGGCATTGACATTCATGGACTATTACAAATATACTTAGATTGAGGTAGTCACAAGATGTGCCTAGAACCATCGTTTCAGCTACTATCTTCTTGTGGATCTCGGAAAGCTTGTTGTTTCTGCTGTCACAGGATCCTAATGGCGTTGGCGCATTGATTGTGGCCAGGTTTAGTAAACAAATAAGATATGCATCTCGCAAGGCAAGAGCTGATACTAGAAAACGGGTGAAAGGTAGATTTGTGAAAGCTGGTGAGGCATATGATTATGATCCTCAAGACACAGGGAACTTCTAAGCATATCGCCAGCAATCACCGTCTTTTCTCTTGCTATGTGATTCTGACCGGTAAGCTTGTCACCGGAGATTGTAAATACACCGTTTTGGTTTAATGGCATGTTTGCTAGGCTTATGAATGTGGGATAGAATTTTAGTGCAGCTAGATTACTAATCAAAAGTTTGCATACTTCATTTAGGGCTGATTATTACAGATCTCTTGTAGCTTTTGACAGGTTATAAAATCCTGCATTATTCGTTGATGAAAGCAAAGATGCACAAAGGTGCTGCATTTGGAAATTACGTGCAGAAGCAGGGGTTGTGTTTATATCGAGATTTTGCATAAAATAGGAAACACAAGAGGTAACTGGCATCTGACATTTTCATTATCTTTTTCATATGCTTATCTTCAAGGTAATGTTTCTTGAAAGCACTTTTACTTCCGTGGCGTTAACCAATTGATTTTCTTCTCCATTAGTTACCAGTCTGTTTAGTCTTTCCTGATTCCAGAGGAATTGTACAAAACGGTTCGTCTCAAATTTTGACACCCGTGTCCTACAGAAACACCATCCAAGACAAGAATAAAAGGAAAAGGGGTAGTTGGCAAGCCTGTGCACTGCCTCAATAAAATGTTTGGCATTGCTTTGTATTTTTCTTCCCGTTGGAACCATGAGTTTATGCTCGCATTTCAATAATGGTGTAAACACTGCCCCGTCATCAAGGGAAATTTGTTTCTATTTTGACCATGGAAAGATTGATTTGATCATTATTTATAACAGATAAATAACTAAAGTTTTCAACACTCAAATTCTTTTGGCCCAGAAACAGCGGTGGCTTTTTGGGTACCTCCATTACGAGAAGCTGTTTCTCCACCGCCAACAAATCATTAATAATGTGAACTTTTTACTGTCTATTTTTGTTTAAGATGTTTGCATTGTTTTTTTTTAAAGTTAACGTGTATTCAACATTTTGAAATATTTTCTGAAACATATCCAACATTTCAAAATATTTTGTTGTGCATCCAATACTTTTAAATGTTTTTTCAAGTACGTTCAGTATTCTAAAATATTCCTTTGTTTTGGTGTTGGATGCGCCAATATTTTGAGGTGTTAGACGTATCTGAAAAAAATATTTTGATGCACTAATACACCAAAATATACTTAACAATACTAGATGCATTTAAAAAATATTAGACGTACCATAAAATACTTTAGGATGCTGAATACAGTTAAAAAAAATATTTTAAAATATTAGATGCAACTTCACTTCTTCTTTTTTTCCAATGAAACTCGTCATTGAAATAAGAGTGAGGATAAAGATAAAATCTGCTAATTCATATCTTCTGCAAACGGTCCATATGCTAATTGATTGAAAAGCAGCAGAGGATCATTCATTTCCCCGTACTCGTGTTTTCCCTTTCGTCCGTACAAGACCTTAGTGGTATTGTACTTGTGTGATTACAATGTGCCGTTCTTCATGTGTGTGTTCCATGAACATACACGAGCGAGAGACAGAGATGCAAAGCGGACAACTCCCGTTTCGAGAGTATTTTATAATTTTTAATTTTCACAAATGAAATATAAGAATTTCAATTTCTCAACTTTATTTCTGAATTTTCTCCTATATTCGACAAAAAAGTAAAAAGAAAAGAAAAGAAAATGAAGAAAAGACAAACTAACTGAGAATTGCGTCTCCGTTTTGTCATTAGTTTAAACGTCGAAGCAAAATAAACAGAATGCAGACATTAAATTTTAATTGATTGCATGGAAGAAGATTGGTAGAAGACGAAGAAATTCTTTCTTGCCGCGGAACCTAGTTGGGACTTTAAAAAAAAAAAAATTCTTTCTTTGAACCTCGATATTGAGAAAATCATCAGTCCTTGACTGTATCAACAAATTAAAAAGCCACCAGAAAGGAACGAGATCGTGTGAGACGAAAATGAAACACTGGTTTTGTCAGCTAGAACACTTTCTGTCGTTGCCCTTCAAACTTGCGATATCGGTTGGAACAGTAACTTCGAGGGAGGCTCCAATAAGATATCGTCGTGAAAGTTTCCGGCACGTGTTGCAGAGAAAGCACCTTACGTGTCTAAAGGCCAGGAAATTTGCTTTATGAACCCATTTGTCACATTTTCTACATAGATACGCCTTATCAGCTAGGCAATACAGCGAAGCCCTCAACCCACACAGCTCACATGGTATTGAATCTCTGGTTTCGCCATGTGACGCGGCGGCGTCTTCAGGAGGCAGAAGGTGGCAGAAACCAACGTGCTTTTCCTCTTCTGCACCCTTGCACATTTTCAGGAGGAGGAGAAGGAGAGGAAGACGAAGAAGAAGACGACGACGACGTCCTTATAAGCTTACAGTAATTTCTTGAACAGAAAAGGGTAGCTGTATAGAGTCTTTATATAGGAAATCGTCAGGAAGATGAACATTGAATCATCGCGGTGGTTCGGTGGACATATGCATAAAGACAAGGACGTGAATGCCACTACGTCACGAAAGCAGTGAGTGTTTTATCTCAGCCCCTTTGTCCTTTTCCAATCAATCGAAGAGGGCCATTCTGGTAAATAAACCAAGAAAGGGAAACAAAACAACTTGTAGAATGTAGATGAGAGAGTAAAACAAGAAAAGCTTTGCAATTTATTTAAAAAGAAGAAGAAGAAGAAGCTATAATTTATGATAATGTTGAGCGGCTAGCAAGCCAATCGGGATTGCCAAAGAAGAAAGGGTAAATGTATGGTCCAGAATAATCAGCTTTAAACTAGTGACCCACCAAAGTCCATATGGTTCGTTGTTGCACGTAACGCCATATATATTTTCTTGAAATGTGGGGGGAATCGAATTGACTTTAAAGTTTAAATGGTAAATATGGGAGTGGTGGAAAAATTTAGGAGGCTTTTTGGGACCAGTCTTGTGCTGCAAGGCTGGACCCAAAAAAGGCCACATGAAGCGTACCTTTGCAAAGCAAGCGAAGAAGAAGATGTCCTTGTCCACAAATTGTTCTTTGAGGTTGAACGGTGAGTGTCCACGTGTATGGTTGTGACTTGAGACAAATGGGGAGGTTTGAGATGAGCCTGTGAATTGCCACGAAAATTGAGTGTTTGGTGAATCCAGAGATTATGGGAGGGTTTGGTGCTTTTGGTGATTCTGGAACAAGGGTGTGTCTGTGAAATTATAACCGTTCAAATTTGACACCGCGGCACAACCACTAATGAGCCAATCAGAGTGGGTATTAAGTAATCAGATTGATTCTGTAGGGGGAAAGCGATGTTTGGATCTGCGCTTTACATTTGGTATTTGTTGGGAGAGATGGGAATTTTCCGTTGGGGAGATCAGATGAAATTCAATTATTATTGCGACAGCCCCTGCCCGAAATAAAAATAAACCAGAGAAAAACGAACTCCATTCCTTGTGGATTTTGCTTTCTTTCGTAAAAAATGGAAAGCGTGCGCAACTATTGTGCCAAGAAAATGTGAGAATTCAATGTTCATTTATTATGGGGAAAACAAATGAGCGGGATTTTTTTCTATTTTTAATCCTTTGGGAATTTCAATTTTTCATTTTTGAAAAGTAAATACTGGATAAAAAAACTCTCCGTCATCAACTTTAAAATAATAATAATAATTGAATGAAAAAAAAAATCAAAATCTTAATCCTTGATGCAACCAGATGACATATATGAAAAAAATTGGTAATGATGGGTCCACTTGATCCATTGATATTTTAATGAAAAGACTTTTTTGTATAATTTATGCCGAGTAGTAAAATTGTGATATCTGTGATTTAATTTTTAGCCAACCGATTTGACTAATAATTTATAAAACTGAAATGAGCGAAGTAATTTTTAAATTCTATTATTCCGCAAGTTGTTTATCATGACGTGACTTGTATTAGCATTAGAAGTGTTAAAAGTGAGAACGTACCTCTATCTATTAGATTTAGGTCTCGACCTGAAAGGGACACTATTCTTAAAATTCATATTCTGATAATTTTATAATGGACAACTGGATATAGAGTTAGTTTTGCTAGTAACAGCGTAAAAGTAATCATGTTTGAAATATTATCAAACATTTTTTTAATAAAAACTTTGATCTTAGTTTACTTGAGAGACTAAGGGGGTGTTTGGATAAGATCAAAACCATGGTTTCAGAAGTGTTTTTACGGTATACGAAACAAATATGTGGAGGAGATTGCCTTGATTTGGAGAAAAGTGCTTCTGAAAAGTGATTTTAAGGGCATCCAAACACCCCTCTTTCTCTATTAACAAACTGGATAAGTGGGTGTAGATTTGTCAAGGACTGGAGTTGTCCCGTCAATAAAGACGAGCTTTTTGCCGACCTGTCAAAGTACGGGTTACTTCAGTCCGTATTGTCTTGAACCCGCATCATGCGGGTTGGCCCACTTTTTTTTTATATTAAATTTTTCATATAATTTCAAATATATTATACAACATAATTAAAATATTTTGACCCTCAAATTCTACATAAACAATTGAATATTGTCTTATTCATATTATTGCATATGTAATTAAACATTTTATATATTTGTGATTGTGTATGTAGTTATATAAAGAATATCGTCCATCTTTTATTTTTCATTTATTTGTTGCGTTACTATACAACCTTTATAAGATTAAATAAACATGTGATACTTATATATATATATATATATATATATAGACACATAAAATATCTACTTAATTAGTTTGGATAAAAAAACTAGTTAAATTAATTATTTATAAAAAAATATGTTATTTTTTTTAAAATATTTTTTTAAATATAAATTAATCTTCATATTATTTTATTATAACACACTACTCAAATTCAAAATTACAAGCCCAATTTTAACATTTCAAACTAAGTTCAACTTATACAAATTAAGGCTGGCAGGCTGGTGTCGGCTACTTCAGTCCGCACCATTTTAAGCCCACACTACGACAGGCTGTATCCGCACCGCCTCTAGCAGGCTTACTGCTTAGCCTCTCAGCGCAGGTGGCACGAAGACAGAGTAAATGAAGGAAAACAGGCCCGATTTGTCGTTGGGCTTAGTGGTGGCTCAATGCAGTTAATAAAACAATGCGATTTATTTTGAATTTCTAAATGTACTAATTCAGATAAATCTTATATGTTGCATATGATTAAAAAATAATTGCATTTCACATGATTTATAATCAAGGCACTTTGTTATGAGGATTCCTAGCTATATCAAAAAAAAAAATTTAATATAAAATTATTGACAAATAATATTTGTTGCACAACTCGTTATTGGGCGTTGTTTTGGTCACTCGAGAATTGTTGTTGTGATTTAAGCAACAGATGACACTTTTGTATCCTTAATAATACAAATTATTTCAAATTGACAACCACGGTATTTAATTACATAACTACCACCTCCGGTCCTAATTATAAGAATTAGGACCCGAGATAGTATTTCACATCATTGTGTATTCCTTGTGCTGTACAAAGCTTTAAAACTAAATCACATTATGTATAGTTGACGAGTATTGCGCGTTGTATATAAAACTCTTTGATAACTTACGTAATTATGCTCTCATTTTCTTGTTAACTACTAAACTACAAGAAAATTTCGTGTTCTTCGGTCAAAAAAAAAAACAAAAGAAAATTTCGTGTTCCTTTATTCGTTGTTTTAAAACCGCAACACAATACCAGATAGTTTTCCAATCATACTGTCTTCTTCATTAATTTTAGAAATCCAATGTGGCATCAATTATTGAAACAAATTAAGACGATTTTCTGGTGTCAAATATGACAAAAAAATAAAACAACTAACAAGAAGAAATCCTAGTCATAGATCCTTGAGATCAATCGCACCCTTTTGTAGTAATTTTTACTCGGACAGTATTCCGGCATGACCCGAAAGCAAAAATGTTAGTTAAGCCGACCGCTTGGGTCTTCTTCGCCGAGTACGAGGATGTTCCATCGGTAAGTCGACTAGAACAAAAACACAGATTTTGGCGTAGTCTCTTAGTTGATGTTCCACCGGAAGAAAAAGGAAGCCACCTCGCCACTCTCCAGCACCATCCCCAACCTTGCGAGGAGGATTCCGTTAGCCACGATGTCCTCCAACTTCTTCAGAACCTCAAACCTACTCCCTCTCAACTTTAAATCCTTCCTCTTGATCCTCTCCCTCCTTCTCAACCTCTACCTCCTCCTCTACCGCCGGCACTCATTTGCCCCTACCCCATTGGTAATCTCGCGAGACACTGCCTCTCCGACCACTCGCCACCACCTCGTCTTCGCTGTTGCTTCGTCGTCTGTGTCTTGGCCCAAAAGGAGATCCTATGTTCGCCTCTGGTTTTCCCCCAATTCCACTCGAGCATTTGCCTTCCTGGACGCTCCCGTCGCGAATGAGTCTTCTTTGTTGCCAGATATGCCGCCGGTGGTGGTTTCCGCCGATACCTCGAAGTTCCCGTATACTTTCAAAAGAGGGCTTCGATCGGCGATTCGGGTTGCGCGCGTGGCTAAGGAGGTGGTTGATCGGAATGAACCGGATGTGAGGTGGTATGTTTTTGGTGATGACGATACAGTGTTTTTCGTGGACAATTTGGTGAAAACTCTGTCGAAATACGATCATGATAGGTGGTTCTATATAGGGAGCAATTCAGAGAGCTATGAGCAGAATGTAAAGAACTCTTTCGAGATGGCATTTGGTGGGGGAGGTTTCGCCATTAGCCATTCTCTTGCCAAGGTCTTAGCTGGGGTTTTGGACTCGTGTTTGAGGAGGTATGCCCATTTATACGGAAGCGATGCGAGGATTTATTCATGTGTAGCAGAGCTTGGCATTGGGTTGACTCACGAACCTGGGTTCCATCAGGTGTAAATTGATTGCTTTCTTTCTTTCGCTATTATTTGTGTGATACTGCTCTTCTTCCCACGTCACAGCCCACGCTGGGACTCCACTGATGACTCTAAAATAATCACATTGGGAAAATGCCAAAACTTGCATATTGCCCAGTGTGAGTACAATATATACAAGTTGAGATATCTTAACTAAAGTAACCATCTAAGCTAAACTGGAACTGCCGGCTAGTGACTATAAATCTAGAGTCTAACTCTACAAGAAAGCTTAGAAATGTATTTCTAGCCTCTATTTTATCCTCTGTTAAAAATCACTCGGTTACTTCAAAGTCGATGGAATATTTATTCCTTAGATTAGATGATTGTTCAGTACCATTTTTCCTACTGTTGAAGGGATGAAATTGGAACACAATATAAAATGTATTTGATGGATCCTATTTCTGATGGATTGCCTCTGGAGGACCAAAACATAACGAAAGTAATCAGGCTTTGGCCCGCTACTAATTGACATGGGTTGTTTCCCTCTCCCTTAGAGTTGTTCTTTGGTTAACTATGAGATTCCATTCAATTATTATTTGTTATTTTTATTGAAGTCTCTGCATATCTACCCTACCTCTTATTCCTCCGTTGTTTTTTAGTATTTACATTTACCTATGGGATGCACACGCAGACTTGTTATCTCTTGAGCATATTTGTGGTCTGCAAGTGATTTTTGTTGGTTTAAAGGTTTTTTCTGTTTGCTTCTCTAGCACCCATGACAAATTTTTTCAGCATGTGCTAGAGGTGGCTGTTGGGATCTAACTTCTTTTTTCTACATGTCATCCAGCCTACTTTGCTTAACTTCACTAAATTCACTACAAGTAATGCTAATTAACTGATGAACTTTATGGCAATGACTATCTAAACATTCACTTGTACACCAGGTAGACTTGAGGGGGACTTTATTAGGGCTGTTGGCAGCACATCCATTATCTCCTATATTGTCACTTCATCACTTGGATGTGGTGGAGCCGCTCTTTCCTAGTATGAACAACACACAAGCTTTGGAGCACCTTTTTACAGCTGCTAATGCTGATCCTCACAGGATCTTGCAACAAGCTGTCTGCTATGACCGATCAAATTCATTGACTTTCTCAGTTTCATGGGGATTTGCAATCCAGGTTTTTCAAGGCAACGAATTTCTCCCAGATGTTCTTTCAGTGCAGAGAACGTTTACACCATGGAATAGGGGCAGAATTGCTGATGCTCATTTTATGTTTAACCTGAGAGACTATCCAAAAGATCCCTGCAGGAGACCTTCTATATTTTTCCTGAGAAGTGTTACAACTACTAGAAAGGGCATTTGGACCAACTACACCAGGCATGTTGTTGGCCACTGTTTTGAATCAAACCCTTTGAAGCAGCTGAAACAGATCAAGGTTTTTGCAAGGAAGTTAGAGCTTGATATTGAGCAGGTAATGCTAACGTAATTCTCGAAGGTACCTGTGAGATTCACAACATTATTTGCTTGTCTACATTCTAATTCTGGTTATTTGGGTTGCTGTTTTTACTTGCCATATTGTGTTTTGTTACAGATGAAGGCCCCTCGTCGACAGTGCTGTAATGTCTTGCCAAATTCTGGGGAATCAATGATCATTCATATTGGACATTGTGGAACTAAGGAACTGATCTCCATGAAATACTAGCATTCTTTTTGGGAGTTGCTATGCTTAGGCTCCAGATATTTTGTGACCTGTGAGTCTGGAGGCATCTGACCATCTCGAAGTTAAACGGGTACCAGGTTGATGCTTGTTCATAGGGTTACCTTGGAAATTTAAAAGAGTTGTTGCTTGTGGAAATTGCATAATTACCTACAGAATCTTACCCTGCAATTTACTCTTCTTCTTCTTTTTTTTTTGTAAGTTTGTTTTTCCTTTTGACAATATGTTACCGGTAAGGTAGGTTAGTCAGTTTACAACCTAAGACGAGGCAGTTTACCTTTTTTGTCCCCCCAGCCCGGCTTTTTTTTGGGGGGGGGTTAGTGCTGTTTATAGAGGTGTTGCAAGTAATTCTGTAAAATTTCAGGAGAACTTAGTAAATTTATTCTATCATTTTTCAAGTATTCCTAAACAATTACAATCACATATTTTAACGATCTATTTCCATGCATGAAATACCATTTTGTGGGGTAAGAGATCTGCAGATTTGTTCAATCACTCAATTTTTATCTCGTTTTCCTTTTCTCTTTTCAGCCCTAATCCAACTCTAATTTGCTTGAAGCGAAACGTTATTATGAGGCTTATATTTTCTGATGTCCATTTTCCTTGTGCTGGTTGTGGAAGACGACCATTTACTTGAAGACGAAGATCGGATTATAGTTAAGGCGACAGATTATGGTGAGGTGCTCCTGCCCAAAAAGTACTAACCCTCTCAACTCTCCACAGTTACGTGGCCCTTTTGCTGCTTGGCCCATTGCTATATGCTTTCCAAATGCTTTATCCCGCTGCAATTCTTTACTTTATAGCATACTTTTCTTTCCTCTTTTGATGCTGGCGAAGAAGCTACACGTAGTTTTGAGTTTTACGTGCCAAGCCACTCAACTTAGGACCCTTTTTTTTTTTTTTTTTTTAATAACGGGAATTTGATCTTATTGAGGATCATGTACGAAAGTTGGCTGTAAACGGCAGCATGCACACTGTAAAGAAGGTGCATCACGCATGACCTTGTATTAAGCAAAGAATCAGTTTAACGCATTTATTCAGTTCAGCAGTTAGCTTTTTGTCCACCGTGGGCACTCGAGAAATGGTTTCTCCACACCTTCAATTATGACAGCCGTTAAAGAAATATATCAGTCGGTGGCGTGAAAATGCCGTTTACTTGTTTTATAAAGATGGATTGTTGGATCACTCAATTTGATCTGTGGATCTTGATAGTTATTAAGTTAGATTACGTTACTCTCAAGCTAAATAGAAGTTAGCGCTATTTGGTATGACACGTTTATTTTGACTCATCTTCATGTGTCACGATATCTCGGACTTACTATGAAGCATCTCCTGGCACTTTGTTGGAGATCAAATCCGTAGCAGGGGAAGCTCTTTCACTTTGCGTGTGACGCCGGACATAACCAAAAAGTAAGTTCTTGACGAGTTATTTGCACGAGACTCATTCTCGCCCGGGATTAAGCAGTGCCTTACTATCTCCTATTCCCAAAATTCATCCACAGCTTCACATGCGCCTTGCTTCTTTCATTCCCGAATTAGTGCAAAAGCGTGTCCTCGCAATTAACTCAAGAAAAGGTGGGTCCCATCTCAACCTTTTCTCTCTTCTAAACTGTAGTTGAAATTACTTTAAAAAGATCAGATTTTTCTCCTCCTCCTTCGTCAAGCGCGGCATCGACGGGCGAAAGATCTGATGAGACACTTGCGCGCAGATAATTGAAGTAGCCTTTCTGAATTTGGTGGTGGCTGTCACGATATTTATTTTTCAAATGGGAAACTTTGAAGTTTCAACTTTCAACAGAGCAGCCGAATCAAATAATATTTGTATATTTCTATTTTTTTGTCATTGTCAAAAACATTGACCTTTGGTTGACAGGTGGCCGTCCTCTTCTGTTTTCTCCTCACCCCTACCCATTTTCGTTCCGGTCGATAGACCGTAATGAACTAATGAACCTCACCAACCGTTCGATTCTGATTCGTGAGGGTGTGGGAAGTGACCTAACCTCTGTGTACACATGGAGAAGTAACTGACTTGGAACGTCAAAGTTAACTGCTCTCTTGCGCCGCGGATCACGGTGGCGCTTTCTATAATTATAAAGCTCAAACCGTCTGAACTCTTTCTCACACAGCAAAACCGATTGCGCTCTGCAGAATTACATCAAATTTCCTTGTGAATATGCAGCATCTGAAAAACCCCACCAAAACCCAGTCTTTGATTAGCTTCATCTTGGTCTGCTCTTCATTTGGGGTCGTTTATCTTCTCGTATCATTGCTAGCTGTTCGTACTTCTAGGGTCGTACATGTGCATTCTTCTTCACAAGATGTGGCTGCGCAGACGTCACTTGATCATATTGTGTTTGGAATTGCTTCAAGCATGAAATCATGGCCTAAGCGAAAGGAGTATGTGAAACTCTGGTGGAAACCCAATCAGATGAGGGGATGTGTGTTTGTCGAAAGCCTTTCAGCCGAAGAACAGGCCAACAATGCCAGTTCTTCTCTTCCTCCTCTCTGCGTTTCTGAGGATACTTCAAGATTTCGTTACACCTACCGAGGTGGATCCCGGTCAGCAATCCGTGTGGCACGTGTTGTGGCGGAGACTGTTGCTCTGAATCATTCTGATGTAAGATGGTATGTCTTTGGAGATGATGACACAGTTTTCTTTCCAGAGAATTTGTTGAAGATCCTCTCCAAATATGATCACGAACTTTGGTACTATATCGGCGCGCACTCAGAGAGCTACGAGCAAAACCGATTCTTTGGCTTTGGAATGGCTTTTGGTGGAGCAGGTTTCGCCATAAGTTCCTCCCTAGCAAAGGTTTTAGCTAAAGTTTTTGATTCATGCATAGAAAGGTATCCTCATCTATATGGAAGTGATGGCAGGGTGTACTCTTGCTTGACAGAACTCGGCGTTGGATTAACCCACGAACCCGGTTTTCACCAGGTAACATTTAAGATTGTATACGTTGTTTTCACAAATTATGAGAAATTTGCTTCCTTTCTTTTTCCTCCTTCATCGTCCTTACTGATTACTGATTCCCCTGTTTTGTGATTGAGATTGAAACAGGTTGATATGCACGGAAATATGTTTGGTCTATTGGCTGCACACCCTGTGACACCCTTGTTATCCCTCCATCACCTGGACTATACAGATCCTGTCTTTCCCAACATGACGAAAACACAAGCCTTAGGACGTTTATTTGAGGCTGCTAATGTGGATTCTCAGAGGATCATGCAACAAACAGTTTGTTATGACAGGTGGTTTTCATGGACAATCTCGGTGTCATGGGGCTATGCTGTTCAGGTGTTCCCAAACCATATGTTCTTGCCTGATGCTCTGAGCGTGCAACAAACATTCAGGCAGTGGAAGAAGGGAAGTGCATTTGCAGGAGCATTCACTTTTAACAAAAAAGACCCTCACCCCGACCCATGCAAAAGACCCACCATTTTTTACCTGGACAGTTTGTCTTCAGGCCAGGATGTGATCACAAGTAATTACACTAGACATTATCAAAACTGTTCATATGATTCTGCTTCGCCGAGGAAAATGAAAACGATCAAAGTGGTTACAAATAAGCTAGACCTCAACATAAAACAGGTATAGCATGATACACTAGTTTTTCTGCAAACATACTATCTCGTTGTCTCCTTTAGTATTTTGTTCTCCCTGGGGTTATTAGGAGCATTACTTGAACCGGTGATAATAGCTCTGGTTTGTTCTGTTTCTTTGTGTTCAGTTGCAGGCTCCGAGAAGGCAGTGCTGTGATGTGTTGCCCTCTACAGCTCGTGACTCCATGGAAATTGCAATTAGAGAATGCAAAGAGGACGAATTGATTTACATGCATCGATAGAAGTACAATATCAAGCGTTGTTGAGGCAAACAAGAAAAAAGAAATAGTTGAAGGAAATGTACAAGGGAATGCCCACATATGCTTGTAGAGTCTCATCATTAGTCCAGAATTCCCATAGATGCTTGTAGAGATTTACCAGCCTAGTCGACTTCAGATAAACTAATAGCACACCAGGCAATATACTGAGGCTGCTAGGATGGAAACGCAAGGGGAAAAGTTGTATTTTGAAGGTTAATTGACATTCTTTTTGGTCAAGTTATTGACTAATAAATTCAATAATGGATTTCTAGTCTGCTTCCTTCAGCTAAAAGCATGTAAGAACTTAATAACTCAGCAGCAACAGGCACCCTTAGACCTCGTCTCATAGTTCATAAGATTCCAGATTATGTATCATACTATGTCTCAGTTTGAATCATGGGCAGAATCATAATCTAATGTCGGCAGTTTGAATAATGGGTCCCTATTAAGTTTGTGTCGGCAGTCTTGAGGACGTAACAGGCGTTCAGCCCTTTGCTTCATATTTAATCCTCACTTCTTACTGTTGAGCACTGATTGTCAATGCTGGACGGTACGGATGAGTGATGAGCCGTTGGTGACCATCTCTGTGAGAAGTATCTAATCAATTTTGATGCAGTTCTTATTTTGATCTTATTTTTGAAATCTAATTAAATGGGAATTAAAGGTGATATTAAACTAATTGGATGGGACATCGTAGTGCTCATTGACATGTAGCTAGTTGATTGCAGTTCTGGGAGCTTGAGGACTAGGATGTGGCTTTGATGGCGTATTCTGAAAAACATATTGAGCCATTGACATACGCCAGTTTGTTGTGTCTTGGATTTTTCTTCTGATTGTCTCAAACGTTCCAAATTTATCTTTGCGTTAGCAAATCCAAATGAGGTTATATATCGCTGGAATTAAACGACGGGTACTACTAATTTGCTCATTTTCGTTGGCAAAAAATAAAAATTGCTCATTTTCTGTCTGCTCTCAACGTTCCAGAACCCACAAAACATTAGTCCTTATATGGTACCGCGGTGGAAGCGGAAAATAAGGCAACCTGTTTGGTGCGCTTCTTTCATTGAATCCTTCCCAAATTCCAAATTAAAAAGATTAGGCAAAAAACATGTCTTCTTTTGTCGTGGGGCCCATGGATGAAATAGGATGGTTAGAGTTAGATTGCCAATATTATTCAAGCGTTGCCCATTTCTTCATATGTTAAAAGAAGGGTATTTCCATTCCATTTTAAATTACACCTAACATAATTAATTTCATTTAACTTCTTTTCCATTAAAAAGAGCCATATCAAACGAGACTTTAAACAGAACACCAGGAAGGCCCAGACAGAGACCATGGGCACAAGTAATGCCATTCTGACATTTCAACCTTACATGGCACATGGAAGCAGCTAAGTTGTGCCCCCTGTGTCCAGTGGCATTTTTATTTAGTTGGTTATTTTGGTTAATTATTTCATTAGTTTGTGAATCTGTAAAACGTCGACCTACCCCGGGTGTGTTCTCAATTTGGCTTTTGCCCTTTAATCAATCATAATACCCAAATTCTACTTTGGTCTGTTGTTCAAAATTTAAAAAAAAAAATCTGTGAACTATCATTTGAAAAATTGTGGGTGAGACTTATATTTTATCTTTAAACTATCATTTAAATAAAAAAAAAATCTCCTAGCGTATTATGTGCAGGGTTTATTTTAATGAATGCAAGAGTTGGATTCGTTTATATCTCAAATGTTCAATCCCCAAGAATGAAACCAGGATCTCGAGGTTATGCAAGGATTGAATGCGTTAATTTATGATATACAGAGTCTGAAGATTTGTTTTAGGACTCAGAAGATGAAATGGATTTTTCTCTGGCACTGAATATGGAATTTTTTTTCCCAAACTGAGAAAAAAAAAAAAGCTTTACAAATTCAAATAAATGGAAATTTCCTTGAGCAAACGAAACGACGCATTCGTACCCGAGAAAATTAAATCCGAACGAGTTCGTCATTTTTTTTTTTTTGGGGAAGAAGTACGGAGAACGCCAACGAAATTAAAAATCCCAAGGATCCTACTTTTGACACTGTCTCATTGAAACTGGCCAATACGAGACTTAGCGTGGTCAATAGAATATGTCAACATGCTTAGTTAATGATTGTCTTCCTCAAAAACAAACTAGAGATTTTCTCTATAAATAAGCTCTTTATCAGCATATTTATCATCCCTCACTCGAAAATCATCAAACTCATTATCGCCTCCATTCAATATGTCTTCTTCAAAGCTCACAGCCACCACCGTCCTCCTCCTAACCTTGACTCTCCTTCTCCAAACATCATTTGGAGCCAATAACTTTCTTTCCTGTGTCTGTTCAAACCCTCAAAACTTCACTTCCAACACACCTTTCGATTCAAGCTTGAAAACTCTCATCACAGTTCTTACCTCCAAAACCTCTCTTACTGGTTTCGGTCAAGCCTCCTTTGGCCAATACCATGACCAACAAGCCTACGGCCTCTCTCTTTGCCGTGGCGATGTCTCTTCCTCGGACTGCAAAACTTGTGTCTCTGAAGCAACCACCGAACTCCTCAAACGTTGCTCCTACAAGAAAGGTGCCATAATCTGGTACGACAACTGTTTGTTCAAGTATTCAGACAAAGACTTCCTTGGCCGCATTGATCATGCGAACAAGTTCTACATGTTGAACGTGAACAATGTCACTAATCCTGATGCTTTCAACTACAAGACGAAGGAATTGTTGAGCCGTCTTGCTGAGGAAGCTCATGGGAACCCTAAGATGTATGCCGCAGGAGAGTTAAAGCTTGAAGAAGGGAAGAACATGACAGTGTATGGGTTGACTCAGTGTACCAGAGACCTTTCTAGCGATGATTGCAAGAAGTGTCTATATGATTCGATCGGTGAGCTTCCTAATTGTTGTAATGGGAAACAAGGGGGCAGAGTTTTAGGCGGAAGCTGCAACGTGCAATATGAGATTTACCCTTTCTTCAAAGAATAGGGTACAGAACTTCGTGCGTCTCGTGGATATTCACGATTATTCATTATCATTATTGTTTATGTGGTTGAATACAGATCATTCATTTGTTTGATTCGACGAATAAAATGTAAAAGTATCTTAATATATGTGCTGCTTATTGTCGTACACAATCTATTCCGATCGATCCCTCTTTATGATATGTTTATTCTTCAAAGAGTAAAACTTATTTTCGTTGTCAGTCGTGGATTGATGAGCTTCCTCGATTGGCAATGATACTTCTGCATCTTCATATACTTTAATTTGTAGACGAAGTGGCGACACTCAGTATTATATCTTATGAATAAGTTGTTGAGCGAACAAAGTTTGTTCATGTGCTCAATTTGATGAATAAAAAATCAATGCAGCTTAATGCACGTTATTATCATCAAAATCATTCTGATGATGATGATGATGATAATTAGATCCTGACGTGGGATGATCTCTTCTCTCTTATTATGAGATGTTAAGCTCTATGAAACTGATCATTTGGCTAAACCACTAGAGAACAGATTTAATTTAATGATGGACAATTAGACAAATGATATGGCATGCCAGAGGGAATTAGTTTTAGTACTCATAAGAGCAATAAGCACTCCAAGTTCATCATATCTAGATTATTCAGATCTAATTTGAATGATTTAGATTTAATTTTTTTAAATAGAAAAATGATAGTAAAAAGATTATTTTTGTTTTACATTCTATGTTCATTAAAATAATCATTTTACCAAAATAAAAATAAAAAAATTAAATCTGTTTGAATTGTCTAGATATGATTGTTTCCCAAAGCAGCGGAGATCCTCTGAACTTCTTCAATTGCTTAATTTTTCACAGAAGTATTTGAATGGGTCTCATTGAATTCACTGGCTGAGTAGGCCACGATAAATGGGGTTTAAGCAGAGAACTTTGGACCTCTGATGTATTTGTGAAGCTGTTATTTTTATACTTCACTTTTCGTCTCGCGTGCCGTGCAAAATTTTGATATTATATTATGATTATTATATAAAATATAAAAATTTGAGAAATGGCGCTAATTTATGAAGTATGAACGGTGAACAATATAGTGTGACTCATTATTCAAATTCTTTACAATGTATTGAATCCTCATCTGGCTTGGCCCAAAAAAATCCTCATCCAGATGTATATTATTTTACTGTTATAAATGTGTATACAATTTTATAAGAGTAAAATTGGTGATTTTTAAATAGCTGTCTTTCTTTTCCCTCCTATACCAAACAATGCATCATTAAAATACTTTTCTTTTCTTCCCCTCCCCTCTATAATCTATATCTTCCCTCCCCCCATTAAAATCTCTCCTCTATGTTGATCATAAGGGTGGAAAAGTTTGTGGTTAATTAATTTAAAATTTAAAAATAACTAATGACCTCATAGTATTATAAAACTTTCTGTACATTAGAGGTCATAGGTTCAATTTTATTTATAATCTCACAACATTAGTGTCTGGCCCCTTAATTGAAAAAAATATAATACAGTTTGAGTGCACAAGTTTTTTAACATTTTTTTTATATCATATGAACAGATCTACATAATTATATTTAGAGAAAATAATGATATTTTTCTTGTGAAATAATTTGGTTAATTTTCATGGTAGGAAAATTGATTAATTTTAAGCTTATTTAATGATTTAATCATCTTTTTCATTAAAAATATTGAACATACAAATGTAGAATTTACTAGTCTGTAAGATCCCGATAAAAATAAATATAGTTTATAAATATTTATGAATTTAAAAAATATACCCACACGCGTATAATGTAGAAAGTAGAAACATTGAAATTAGATAATCGACGCCGTAATTGATGAATCGGTATACTTCACATATTTTTGCCTGCTGCCAAGCTTGATGAAGTCATCCAGATGTGGGGAACATCAACTAATAAAATAATCAAAGACATAAATTAAACACGCAGCTCGCTTTCGAGTTTTGACACTGTCATGAAGAACTTGGTAGATAGCATTAGCAGCTAGGTAGACTTGGCATGCAAGGTTTTATAGAATATGTCAGCCTGCAATTTAACCCCTTTCTTTATATTCCCCAGAGAACACATAAGAGATCTTTTTCCTCTATAAATAAGCTCAATATCAGCATAATTGTCATCCATCAGACTCATCATCAGCTCCTTCCAATATGTCTTCTTCAAAGCTCACGGCCTCCACTGTCCTCTTCCTAACCTGGGGTCTTCTTTTCCAAACATCTTTCGGAGCCAATCCTCTTTCCACTTTCTGTTCAAACCCCCAGAACTTCACCTCCAACACGCCTTTCGATTCAAACTTGAAAACGCTCATCACATTTCTCACCAAAGAAACCCCTATCACTGGTTTCGGTCAAGCCTCCTTTGGCCAATACCCTAACCAAAAAGCCTACGGCCTCTCTCTTTGCCGTGGCGATGTCTCTTCCTCGGACTGCAAAACTTGTGTCTCTGAAGCAACCACCGAACTCCTCAAACGGTGCTCCTACAGGAAAGGTGCCATAATCTTCTACGACCATTGCTTTTTCAAGTATTGGGACCAAGATTTCTTTGGCCGCATTGATGACGCGCACGCGATCTCCTCGTGGAGCTTGCAAAACGTGAGTGATCCTGACGCTTTCAACAACAAGACGAAGGAGTCGTTGAGCCGACTTGCCGAGGAAGCTCATGCGAACCCTAAGATGTATGCAGCGGGAGAGTTGAAGCTTGGGGATCATTGGAAGAATATGACGGTGTACGGGTTGACTCAGTGCACCAGGGATCTTTCTAAAGACGACTGCAAGAAGTGCCTGGACGGTGCAATCGCTAAACTTTCTGATTGTTGTGCTGGTAAAATTAGTGCAAGAGTTGTACGCGGAAGCTGCAATGTCCGCTATGAGAATTACCCATTTTTCAAAGCGTAGAACTTCATGTCGGGTGGCCGGGGTTGAAGATGAGCTAAGTTATCAGCATTATATTGTTGAGATGCTAGCGGGCCTCGACCTTCATCACCAGCTGCATCCATTCTCGTATATGTTATCGAATAAACTTTGTTCATTTGTTTGATTTATGATGGATAAAGTGTCGGTGTAACTTAGTTTTGTTTGTCAATTGTCATTGTCATCTTTCACAATCAAAATAAGAGAATGCCAGATTGACCCAAAAAAGAGTAGCGAATGAATCAGCAAAGGAAGATGCCCTGCTTTAACTGGTAGGGCCCTGATATGGGCTGGGCCTGTCCGTTGTCGGCCTAGGGAAGGGAGGTTTTTGTAATCTGCCAGGTAAAGACATTAAAAGAAGGAAGGTCTAAAACAGGATTTTTATAATTTTATTGTATAGTTTTTGTGTTTGAAAAAATATTAACATAGTTATTGATCAATATTTGATTAATTTGTCTGAACACATGCTTTACCAGAATATACTATGGTTAAGTTAGATTGATGACGAGGAGAAATTCTTCCTGCATAACTGCCATTGGTGCAGAGATGGGATCCGAATCATTTCACTGCGATGTGAGTCTAATAATTATTAATAATAACGACAAAGACACCAATACTTTACTACTATTATTAATATTATCCTTATTATGAATATTAATCATTAATTAATAATTAATGGCATGTCCTACCCTTCGCAGAAGATGCCATCCCTCCGTAGTAGTACAAGTTAATTTACTCGTTGGCCAAAAAAAAAAGAAGTTAATTTACCCTATTTCATTTTAGAGTAAATGTTTATGCAGCTCCTCGTCTTGTTTCTGACCCCTCGATCTCTTTTTATTCATAAGTTCGGTAATTGTTACATTTAATCCTCGTATTTAAATTATTATTATTATTATTATTAAACCTTATTTTTATTTTTTAAAAGAAGAAGGAGAAGGAGGAGAAGGAAGCTACAGCTCCTAAAAAAAAATTGCAGCCTCTGATGGAATCTAAAGACCAATGAACAGCTATAACTTATGAAAAGGAGAGAATGGCGGATTTAAAACAAAACTGCACAGTGCCGATCCAATCGATCGGATTCCTTTGCCCACCCATACATTGTAAAAGGAAAAACTTCGTGAATTTAATTCACTCCACTTAACTGTCAAATTTATAAAAGAGATGCAGTAAACTGAGCAATTAGCGGAAGTTGGGGCCAGCTGTGAAAGATTCATCACTCTCGCTATTCATATTGTCATTAATCAGAGAAAAACAATAAAGAAAATGAACATCGATCGCTCATTAAGCAGACTGTGAATCAATAATCCAAGCATATGAATGTTTGCTCTGGTAGTAAAAACCGCATAGAACAAATAAATGCCAATTAATTAACCCACATTTTCCTATGCAAAGCTCTTGAATCGAACAAAACCAATTTCCCAGCAAGAAAATTCTAGACCCCTTACTCAATTCCGCAAAATGCAGCTAAGCCTGCCCAGGACCTAGGGCTGGTTGCGTCGAGCTGGGTGGGCTCAAAGGTGGGGCTGCCCCACTCGGGGAAGAAGGTGGCGGCGGAGTCGGCGACTGCAATACAGGCGCCGGAGGTGGATTGAGGTTAGAGTCAGGCGGAGGCGGACTTGGATTCGTTACCGGTGCCGGCGGCGTAGGTGGGCTTGGATTCGTTATCGGTACCGAAGGCGGAGGCGGACTAGGGTTCGAATAAGGTGGAATCGGACTGGGAGGGGTGGGCGGGGTGGAGCCGGAGCCGGAGCCGGAGCCAAAGTTGGGAGTAGGAAAATTAGGGGCAGGGTAGGTAGTGGTAGGAGGAGAGAAGCAGGAATCGCCGGAGCATTTGACATTTTTACTGTGTGAGCGGCGGAGGAGGCCAAAACCCAGGACGAGACCGAGAACGACGAGGACGGTGACAATGAAAATGAAGATCTTTGTTGCTTTGCCCACGTAACACATAACTGTATTGTCCGAAAAAGCAGGGTGGGGGGTAGGAAGGCGGTTTCTGAAGGAGAGAGATGGTGTAGTACTAGTCTGAATAGCCGATACTGTTATTGTGTATATCCAGTTAAGGATCAGGAGAGAATAT